GTTTCCAACGGGCTGGACTGTTGGTGGTGCCGTGGAGGAAATTGGAATTGTGTAGTTGATTGGGATCAAGTCTGGAAGGATAGAACGTGAAAGGAAACGAGGAACACGGTTAGAATCATCGACTCAGATAACGTCTGAAGTGAGCACAGAATGAATGAGCACAACATGGGAGTATGTAGCCCAAACGTGTTTCACACCGGTAAGCAACTTTTCAATATCACAGTGTCTGAGTCACACATCCAGCTTTTCAAGAGTTTCCTCTCCGACCCTTACCTCTGACACGCCACAGGTCAAATGCACCCTCGGCACCGACGCGGTATGAGTTCTGGTGGGCAACAAACGTAGCGTGGACCCAGCCCGGCGAGTTGCTAGTGTTTGTACTGAGCGTAACGATTCCCTCGGAGTTGCCATCCTGAGCTCCCCACTTCCAGTCCCGGCCACGAATGACGCGGATGCCGGAGGTGAACATTCCGGTGAGGGTCTGATTGGAGAACTGCGAGTAATCCGGAAGAGCTGAGTGAGCAAGAAAAGAGAACAAATACATTGTATGAAGATAATCAACTTCCAAACATCTCTCTGCTTTTCTTTGGCTACAACATAATATGGCTGAAGGTGATGAACGAAGCGTTCATGATCCTTACCATTGGCGCGGCAGACATCGAGTTGTGTTCCAACACGATACAGGGCAGTCTGTCCGGCATCCCACTGTACGGTGACAACGCCAGGACTAGCCGAGCCAAGCTTGGCAATGACAGTGCCCAGTGCACCCAGTCCACCGTCCACATTGCCGTAAGTCGAGAGCCAGTCGGGTCCACGCTGTACTCTCACGCCGGGCCCAAAGATGTAGGACATCTGGAAGGTATTGTACGGTGAGTAGTCGTCGGGGCACACTGCAGGTACAGCACATGCACATTGTTTGCATGCAAGTGAGACAAACGACGCAATCACATGTTGTGTGTGTGTGTGTGTGTGTGTGTAAATCAGCTAGAGGACGTGAAGCTGTGTGATAGGAATGCAATGCTGGAAACATGAATGATAAGAAAGCGCATCAACACTGCAGAACAGCAAGTTTGGTAACCGGAATCTATTCACACAATGCCTATGCAATATATCGGAATGTCCTGACTATCTTAGCTCTATCCCAATGTATCCAATGTCTATAATGCGTTGAAAAGTGTCTGGAATGCCTTCAACAGTTGACTGAAAAGGAACGGCAATTCGGTTGCTTTGTGTGGTGGTCCTCAGAGTTGCCTGAAATTCGGACGATTTCATTCTTTTTCAGTGATTGGTGTAGTCCAGAGACCACTTGGAGAGTGTTGGCAGGATGCATGGTTATAATGGATGACTATAAAAGAGAGTTTCGTACATTTGACTACGTGTAATGAGACCAGCATCGTTTTAGCTTTGTGTGGTATGGCAACACATGCTTACCGACTGCACAGCAATCCGTGTTGAAGGAGATGTCATCAATAGCAATGTCACCAGTGAAGCTGGTACCAACAACACCCTCAAACACAATCTGATTCACACATAACGTTACAGGGAAAGTACACATACAGAACATCAAGTCAAGGCACTGGCACTGAGAGTGTTTCATTCATTCGAGTGTGCATCATGTACGCGTCAGTTGTTAGATTGCCACTACCCCATCAGGGGTACCTCGCTTCGATTGCAATATTCAGGTGACACACCTACTGGTACTGGTCTCATGCAGAATGGGACTTGTAGATATCAGTCAGTCAGTCAGTGAGTGAGTGAGTGAGTGAGTGAGTGAGTGAGTGTGGCTGAATGGGTCAAAATTAGTCGCCTTCTTCTACACATACTTTCATAAAGAAAGCCAACGTTTCAACACTCTACTTCTACATGTACATGTACTTCCGTTAAGATTTCCCAATCAGCTATCGCTATCTGCCGTGACTTAGAAAGGTACTCATCACACCGCTATGGAGGCAACAGAACTACATCAAGACAAGAGTCATACTGCTGACCTGGAAGGTGTCAAGGAAGCGGCCCACGGGTACTCGGGCCTTCTTCCATCTATTGCCATTGTTGCCCGACCTGGACCAGGCTAGTTTCTGAGCTGTGCCAGTCTGGTTGATGTAGACGTTGAGCGTACCAACGGTCGTGCCGTACATGTGGTACCAGAAGTCAAATGAGCAGAGCTGCAGGCTGTTGTTGTACGTTGGTGAGGCAATAATTGCGTTGTCACCACGGCGGCGCGGGGACGATGTCTCGATGAACAGATAGTAACCTAGCACCATACAGAAGCAGCAGCAGTAATAGCACCACAAAAACTTGATCAGAATCCAGTTATTCTTCAAATGCCGTCTGTACGGCATCATGCGCCATGTGTGATGCCTCATCGAGCAATACTTTATGGTAGACATGCAGAAATAATCGTGTGAACACTGCATACTGAGCAAAACAAAGAACGTCAAAGAGATGTTGACACGTTGAAGATGCCTCTTCTTTGCCTTTGGCGTGCTTGGGTTAGTGGAGGTGAGGGTCACAATAGAAGGTTTGCAGTGGTTCCTTTGCTTACCTGAGCCAGTGGTATGGTCACTGGACGGTCCAGTTGAGAAGGAAGAGGTGCCTCCTGTCTGGCGTGTCCAATCAAACTTGTCCTGAGAGGATTGCGTATAGCCTTCATATCCAGGCTCAAAGTTTATTGCTGCAGTACCGCAGGCTACGATAGCAGACAGATTATGGACAGTGCAAGAACAGAATTCAGATCAACTTTATTTACCCAGTTTTTATATGCTCCAGTACACTAGTTTATAACCATCAGCAAAAACTCGAAAAGAGTGGGTTAGCAACATACTTGCAAAACACTGTCTGCACCGGCAATTGCATCTCCACATTGTACAGTGTTTGTGTAGACATAATATTATGACTACTCTTCTGCTTCGCTCCCATAGTGCAGATGCACTTAAGAATAAAATGTTTTTTGTTTTCGTCGTTGGTGAATCTCGAGTGAACTTGTTTGTGGTGTGGACAAAACAATAAGAAAAGTGTGCTTCATGCGTCCAACCGCACATTGCGACATAGCAACAAAAATTCAATCAGGACAGTGCTAGAGATGTAGCCCGCAATAACCGTGCTTCCAGCAGCAGCAGCACCAGGAACAGAGCAGCAACAGCAGCATTAGTAGCAGCAGCAGCACCAGGAACAGAGCAGCAACAGCAGCATTAGTAGCAGCAGCAGCACCAGGAACATAGCCGGTTAGCAGGAACAGCAAGACCTACTTGTTGGTACAGTGCCCTTGCAGCAGGCCTGGGTGAGAGCAATGTCATCCAGACCAATGTCACCAGTGAAGCTTGTGCCAACGATACCCTCAAAGATAAGCTGAACAAAGAACAAAACAGATGTGAGAGATGAGGGGCGAGGGAGAATAGCATACTCTGCTCTATGTGAATACAGAGGTCCAACAACCCGCTAAATGCGAACACAGAGGTCCAACAACCCGCTAAATGTGAATACAGAGGTACAACAACCCGCTCTATGTGAATACAGAGGTCCAACAACCCGCTCTATGTGAATCAAGAGGTCCAACAACCCGCTAAATGTGAATACAGAGGTCCAACAACCCGCTAAATGCGAATACAGAGGTCCAACAACCCGCTAAATGCGAATACAGAGTTCCAGTGACCTGTTAAATGTGAATACAGAGGAGGGAAGGGATGTTTTACAGGGTGACGACGCAATATCACAACCTAGGCCAGTAGAACCTGCGGCCATGAAACAACATTTAAAAAGGACATGAAGCTGTACAACGTTAACAACGAAGCACAGGTGCACCACCATGCAGTCGTGTTGGATTTTCATTCACCCTCCACTGACCTGGAACTGCTCTGGATCTGTTGAGCCGATTGAGGCCGTTCCCAGCAGCCAGTTGTTGCCCTGGTTTCCGCTCTTCGACCAGAGCTTAGTGGTCTTGAATGGTGTCCTGATGTAGACGTTGAGTGTGCCAACCGTGGTTCCATACATATGATACCAGAAGGTCACGCCGCAGTACTTCGCGTCAGACGTGTACACTGGCGAGATGAGGCGGGCCACATCGGAGACCCTCCTCGGGAACGAGGTCTCGATGTAGGCATAGTACCCTGTGTGAAAGCACCACGCCGAGCAGCCGTGAGTTAGAATAGGACCGAGCAAAGCAATACTATTGTCTGTGATTCACTCAGCATTCGGGGACCACCGCTCGACACAATGTGACCACTGCTACTTTCAACTGCCTGGCATGCCCAATATATGCATGCTGTGCAGTTGAAGAATTTTTTTACATGAGAAGTCGCTGCTCAAAAGGCTCAGGGGACTATCCTCTGGAGGGTTTTTTAAGAACATGAAAAGATGTCACGCTCACGCTCACACATACATGTACAATGTCATGTTCATCTCAAGTTTCAGTGCATGCTATGTGCATGCTACACTCTACACTCTACATACCACTGCTGGTTCCCGACGTGTGGTCAGTGCCGGGCCCAGTGCTGAAACTGGATGTACCGCCGTTGTCCAGGCTCCAGTCAAAGTTGTCACTAGCATCCTGGATGTAGCCCTGGAAGGATGAGCCTCCGCTGCTGGTGTCCCACGTTGTTGGAGTCTTTGCTGCCGTACATGCTATAAGAGAACATGGGCAGGGGGGGGGGGGGGGCAGTGCAGACAGTGGGATGCATTGGCAGTCGGTCTAGATATATAAACGCTATACTGTCAACACACACACACACACGTGCACACACACACACACATACACACACACACGCACACACATACATACATACACATACACGTACACACACACGTACACACACACATATACACACACACACACAACTTTCTACACAGAGAAATCAAACATGAGCAGCAGGACACGGCAACGCAAAGCAACCTGGAACGTTAGGAGGTCCTCATGGTGCACCGGTGCGCTCTCATACCTGAAGTTGGACAGCAGTCTTGGCTAAATTGGAAGTCATCAATGGCAATATCACCAGTGAAGCTTGAGCCAGTTACACCTTCAAACATCACCTGAACAGTATGGTACAAGCAGATTACACAGTGGACACGTATACATGTAGATCAGTAACGTACGGAACGGCTAGAAGAGGTGAGCAGAGGTATGAGTGTAACAAGCATGTAACACCATGCACCATGCACCATGCACCATGCACCATGCACCATGCACCATGCACCATGCACCATGCACCATGCACCATGCACAGCACCAGACATAGAATTCTGCTGGCTACACATCTCACAGCGCACATTGGTATCGGTTACAACATACCTGGAACTGGCCGCCTAGGCCAACCTTGAGTGAGCCAGATGAGACCCAGCGATTGCCGATTTGCCCCGCTTGACTGAAGACCCTGGTGTTGATACCACGGCGGACAATATAGACATTGAGGGAGCCGATGCTAGCGCCATACATATGATACCAGAAAGTGAACGAGCAGGTAGTGGACGGCTCTTGGTAGAGCGGTGACATCAGCTGTGCCTTGTCACCGCTGGTGCGCGGCAGCGATGTCTCGATGTACATATAGTAACCACTTGTGGTGTTAGTGGTGTGGTCAAACGATGGGCCGGTGCCCGAGCTGGACGTGCGGCCGTTGGACCGAGTCCAGTCAAAGTCGTCAGTCGAGACCTGAGTGAATCCGTCCATTCCGGACGCAAAGTCAGATCTGGCGGCACCGCACGTTGGATTGCCGCAGCAGCTCTTGTCGAAGTAGATGTCGTCGAGTGCAATGTCCCCCGTGAAGCTGCTTCCGGTGACGGCGGTGAACGTCAGTCGGAACGAGCCGGTGATGTTGGCAATGTTGGCGGAGCCGCGTTGCCATTTGTCACCTTGATCACCCGTCATTGTCCAGAGGGTGAACGTACGCTGGTTGGCGATGTTCTGTGCCGTTAAAGTCAGGTTTCCAACAGTACCACCATACATGTGGTACCAGAAGACCACGCGGCAGCCAACGACATTGCTTGTGAAAACTGGAGAGGACAGGCGAGCTACATCGCCTCTGGTCCGCGGGAAAGATGTCTCAATGTAAATGTAGTGGCCTGTAGTTGTGACACATAGAATGGCGGACGTGAGGGAGTGTTGTATGAGTACCATGGCATACCACAACGACAAGGAGTATATATGTAGGACTCAGTATAGAGTCCATGCACTATATGATGTCCAGCACCCTATATAGAGTCCATTGGTCCAAAATCCACTATACAGAGTCCAGGAGTCCACTCAGTTTTGATCAGCTTCATCCTGCCGCGCAATCCCCTATAAGGAGTACACTTTTTCTACAAGTCCACTATTCACGGTCCAGGAGTCCAGTTTATCCAGTCACGCCGTCCTGTGTGTTGTGCCCGAAAGAGAAAACACCTTTTCAGTTTTGCTTGCCTCATGGCAGCGCATTCCTTTCTTCACTTCAGCCATGGCTGCCAGTTCTGCTGTGCAGTTGCTGACTGTAATCTGTCTCGAGCTAACCAAGGAGGATAAGGAGACGTTCAAAATCAAATCTGGAATGCGTCTTGTGGTTCTCTGAAGACGTTTCATCCGTGCGCGGGATGAAAGCAGAAATTGCAGAACGAGAAAAGTTCAGCACAGTTCAAATCTGACGAGTCAAGTACACTGACACTCTCTTTCGTTCGACGCCACAAGGATCCCCTGTTTCGCTGGCCATTGCTGCCAGGAAGGCGTTTGAACGGTTTCATCAGAGCGAGGGATGAAAGCAGAAAGCGGAGAACGAGAAAAGTTCAGCACAGTTCCAATCTGACGAGTCAGATACACTGACACTCTCTTTCGTTCGACGCCACAAGGATACCCTGTTTGACTGGGCAAGAGCTGCCTGTACCACCGTGTCAAAAGGCTGTCCAACTACATGGCAGGACGATGACTGAGGTAAGGAAGCTGTACTCGTTTTGATTGGTCTGCTGTTCTGTCGTTATGCTTGAATTTTTTTCCATTTTCAAAGATCGTATCGCGTTTGTTTGATGTTGCTTGAATGAGTGCCCTAAAAGTAATCAACCACTTCGTAATGGTCCTCAAGGACTGCAAGGACTTTGCATCAATCGTATACGATCGTCTAGCTATCATCAATTATTATTTTATTTCATGAGAAAAGTATTTTATCCCTGTGATAATTATGTGAACTCCACGACACTCTTCTAGGCTCTAGTATGATGTCAAATACAATGGGATCCACAAACGCAGTGCCAGTGTACTAGTAGTAGTAGTAGGAGGATTTCTTGTATGCCGATGACAAGAAAAAGCTTCTCAAGCTAATACATGTACTCGTATTCCATGAAGTAACCGTTTTGATGTCACAAACATGACATTGTGTCAGTGAAACTGCCTCGTGACAACAAATCATTGCATTTCCATCTTGGGGAAGACTGACTGACTACAACGCTGTACAGATTGTTTAAATCATCTCATTTCAATTTACTGTGTACACTACATGTATGGTGGTGTGTCTGTGCGTCTTGAGTGTGCACAAACAATCTTATTCCTCGTATTACTAATAGATTATTGTCCCCACCGTCGCCTGTTTACAAGTCTTTGTGTGGATGGATTTTCATTGAGCATCACATTCGTTGAGAACTTGGTAGTTGTGTGCTCCCATGCATCATTACGGTAATAAGCGTATCCTTGTGCTATCTACTTTTTGCAGGTGTGCTGATCTTTAGAAGCTTGCGGAACTGAGTGCTGCTGAACATTTGCATGGCCATGAGCAATGGTGAAGCTTGCTATTGCACTCCAGCATGTGCTAGTACTATGCTGACTACTACACTATGTTACTCTCTTACACTAATAGGTGCGTGCACCCGTCCATGTATGCATTCGTTTCGTATAATTATTTGTTATCCCTCTTGACCTTACGTGTAAATGGGTGGACGTTTGCATGGCTGTTGGAGTTGCGTGTGTATTGTGTCTCTACTCTTTTCTTGGTGTTTTCTTGGCGTTGTATAAGTTTGTGTGTGTGTGTGCGCGCGCACAATAATTTGAAAAAAAATAATTAATCCTTGGCTCTCCATTATTCTCTTTCGATTCGTGGTTGTTTCTAGGTATTTTCTTGGCGTTGTGTGGGTGTGTGCATGTGTGTGTGTGTGTGTGGGTGTGTGTGTGGGTGCGTGCACAATATTTGGCAACACTACATGGTTGAGATATTGTAATTTGCAGCGTCTGCGAAGAGACCACTTGATTTGAGGATGGTGTTTGTAGGGTTTTTCATGTAGTGAAGTGGCTACAGGGGCGCCTCAATACTTATTTTTTATCTTGAGAAGTGAATGATGTAAAGGGAGAGGCCGTTTTCTGGTTAATATTCACTGCTTACAGCAGATCCTATGTCTAATTTCGAACTCTGGATAGGAGATGCCTAATTGGCTGGACTTTATACAGGGAGTGTTGTCCACATAAAGACTCCTTATAGTTGATTTCAAAGTTTGGACTCCATACAGTTGATTTTGGACCAATGGACTCTATATAGGGGTGAAACCAATTGGCTGGACTCTATACAGGGAGTGATGTCCATCTAAACTTTGAGCTCACAGTTGATTCCAAGTTTGGACTCTGTACAGTGGATTTTGGACCAATGGACTCTATATAGGGGTTGGACATCATATAGGGGCTGGACGCTCTACTGAGTCCAACATATATTGTCAATGTGTGTGTGTGTGTGTTTGTGTGTGTGTGTGTGTGTGTGTGTGTGTGTGTGTGTGTGTGTGTGCGTGTGTGTGTGTGTGTTTGTGTGAGAGAGAGACAAAAGTAATGGTTATGATCATCTGAAAATGATGCACTGCATGCATCAGTGTGCCTCATGCATCAGTGTATGATTGGCGGGTCAGGCGCAACTCTTGGAAAAGCACAAACGCCATGCCCTTCAACTCTTTCAGGACTCACGCAAGAAATTTAAGAGCCTTTGCCAGTACATGCAGTTTAAGAAAGCGCAGCTAGCCAGCTACACCGGCGGAGCATCGCTGGCAAATGCAGCTACCCGCCATCTTACCAGAAGAATTGCCAAAGGTATGGTCATTCGTTGGTCCAGTTGCAAAGCTGCCAGTACTTGCGGAGTGAATACTCCAGTCAAAGTCGTCCTTAGTGTCTTGTGTCCAGTTGCCAAGGGCCTTGGTACCAGTTTCCTCAAAGTCCAAAGCGGGAGTGGTACATGCTGTACGGAAGAAAGTACGCCACGAGCAGCATAAACATAGAGACCCGTCAGGTGCTGTGCTTAAGTCTGCCAATCTAGGGTAGTCGGAAAACAGCCCAACGCTCACAGAAAATAGGCAGGACATACATGGTTCTCATGAACAGATATGCACACATAGACATACATCACGCCACGCCATACTGTAGACTACAAATTCTGAATTCTGAGCAGCGAATGTACAATCACACACATACATTGAGTGTCTTGACTGGCCATCATACCACACCCAACAACTATATCAGCACAGCACGCCCAGGAGGACAATCTTACCGGCATTAGGTGATCCAATAACTGTCGTCGAGGTATGCACACAAACATGCAGAAAACAGTAGAAAACACACACACACACACACACAGATGCCTGTCAATCCATGCACAATAGCCGCACCCTACTTTGCGTGAAGCACATGTACACATAACACTAACTTACTGAACCTGACATTTCATGCTGATGGAGATCACAGATGGCAAAAGTAAGCGAGCCAAGCACTAGAAACAATATGGATTGATTCATCCTTGGTAAGAGCAATGCAATGAGGACCAGGGCACAGTAACAGGCAACAAGCTTACCGCCCACTTCAATACAGAGATCGTATTTGCCGGTGGCGCCCATCCTGTAGGAATTGGTGTAGCCGTTGTCCCAGGTGACACGTACGTAGCCGGCGGTCAGAGCTCCAATGACAGTGCCGTTCTTGCCACCGTTCTGCGAGCCCCAAGACCAGTCGCGGCCATACGGCGTAACACGGGTCGACAGCTTGAACTTGGCGGCCAGCTGGGCGGTGGTGTAGGTGGTCCAGTCCTCGCAACCTACAGACAATCATCAGCGGCAAACACCATGTCATCATACATGGACCAGTATGTGTACTAGCAGTATGTGTACTAGCAGTATGTGCACTAGCAGTATGTGTACTAGCAGTATGTGTACTAGCAGTATGTGTACTAGCAGTATGTGTACTAGCAGTATGTGTACTAGCAGTATGTGTACTAGCAGTATGTGTACTAGCAGTATGTGTACTAGCAGTATGTGTACTAGCAGTATGTGCATTGCAGACAGTGTACTACTACACTATCATGCAGCAAACACCACATATATCAGGCAAGTATGTGCATTGCAGAGAGTGTACGCTATACAATGCAGCACTGTCACAAGCTGTGCACTGAGTGATGTTCAAATTCACAGTTCTGCCACAGATATTCAGCAAAATTGGATCATACTCTCAGCATAATAGCACACACGCACACACGTGGCACGGACGCATACTCGTTGTAATGCTATACCGTACCTGGCTGGAGGGGAGGCAGAGTTGGAGATGTTGTGGGTGCCGTGGATGGTGCCGTTGGAGTTGGTGATACAACAATCGCGGCAACAGCTGGTTTAGAACAATGAAACAGTCAAAGAGATAGGAGAGGAGCAGGAGATTGATCAGTGCACGTCACTAAGAGCAAATACAGCAAATGAAACCATGCATAAAAGCCTACACTTGGATGTAGGAAAGCAGACCGTAATATTATTAATTTTGATTAGTGCTGAAACGATTACGTTTTTTCCTTAGTGGCTTAGCTGATACCATAACGATCGGCTTATCGGCTAAACGATTATTATTGTAACTACATCAGTACATTGTACATTCTGTGAATTTCAAAAAAAAATACAAGTCTAACATCGCCAACGACGGAAAGCGGGCACATAGATCCGATGATCCCGCAACAAGTCCGTCAGCTGTTCGGACTTACCAGACGAATACAGACAAGACAGAGGCAACTCACTGGTTGCAACCCAAAAGCTGATGGTGCGCTTCGCCTGTGACTTCGCTGACTCCGACGATGAAGTCAGAGAAGCCGGCCAGGGGTGCAGATCGGCGGATTTCGACGGATGAGCTGACGTGAGGCGCACCAACAAGTAACTAGTTGCTTTTCCTGTCTATGCTCAAAATAGGCCAAGACGCCAGGCCTAGCTCGTCGTCGAGCAAACTGGTTCGGGAACCATCGACAGAACGGAAAACATGAAACTGAAGACCACTTTACTCAATACTGTCTTTAGCTCAAGACTACTCGCACGTGGAGGGAACTCCAGCCCATGCAGCTAGTGTAGACACGTACTGAGCCTGCCCGTCCTGCATCAGTGCATGCTGTAAGAAAAGTAGTCAGCTCAAAAGACGGCGACGGTGATCACGTCGATGTTTCTCAGATCGCGCTTGTACTTTACACGTACATCGATGTTGCAAATGGACAGTCTTGTACATATTCGTGTCGTACTCGCAACACTTCGATGCATGCACACTTTGCGCGACCCCCAAAAGGGGGGAAATCCCGCCCCGAGCGTAAGTATCATTCTACTCGTTTAGCCGATAAAATCGAAATAACAGTTCGATCTATTTCTTATCGAGTAAGTAACGAGTAATCGATATAATCGTTTCAGCACTAATTTTGATGAATACAATTTTTTTAACTCATTGTATAATGCTGCACACTGGACCGCCGGAAGCAGTTGTTGATTGGTCCGGCCATGTCCTATCCTGTATCATGTTATCCTTTCACCCATTCACGGCATAGTCCTTCCCCTGTCTGTCGCCATGTATAGACGGTACGTGACCTCTCACTACCCCCGTGCTACGCACTATACCATGCTCTGCTGGGCATGGCCTCCCTGACTCTTCACTATATCTACACTCATCTGTCTGTAAAATAAAGCACTTCCTTATGCCAGTACATGACACAACATGGTGTCAGAAGCAACAGGCCATACCATAGCTTTTCATTTCTTGCGTATGCTGCAGCAGCAGGTGTACATGACCTACTCAGCACTAAACCAGCGTTGGTGGCCAAACAGTTGGTGCGGTAATGCCCTGACCACCCACTGAACCGGTTCAGTGGGCCTGATGTACACTTTCAATGTACAACCAAACCCTTTAAAAAATTGAACAGTCCCCACAGGCATTTGGACATCTAACGGTTCTTTTAAAATGTAATCTCACCTGGAATTTGCAGATAGAGGTCATACTTGCTGGCAGATCCCATGCGATAGGCATTAAGGTGGCCATCATCCCATCTGACCTGCACCCATCCGGTCGAGGAGTAGTTGCCCAGACCCTGGGTAATAGAACCCGGTCCACCGCTGCCCTGGGTGCCCCAGGACCAGTCCTTGCCACGGATGACACGCACGCCAGTTCTGAAGGCATATGCCAGATCCTTAGTATTGAACTTGCTGAGGTCAGGACGAGCTACAGAAGAGCAGATGAGTCAAAATTCTGTCACTTGAGAATCTCTGGAGCTTAACAAGCAATGCTGTATATCAGCAAAGGAGGCTATAATGTCAGCAAAGGAGGCTATGATGTCAGCAAAGGAGGCTATGATGTCAGCAAAGGAGGCTATGATGTCAGCAAAGGAGGCTATGATGTCAGCAAAGGAGGTACTAAGCACATAACCGCAGTACACAGGATGCATTGGTAACCAGCGCCATCCCAACGGTGTGATGACTTGGTACAGGTATGTTGACTGTGTACTTCTACTATTCCTATTCACGAGTTTTGCAATACGGCTACGGCATGCTTTTAGGCATGCAGAGCTAGTGCCACGTGGATTGTTCGTGACTGGATGCCATGTCATGCAGAACGCCAAGCCGCTCAGCACGACACACTGACTGGTGGAAATGCTAGGAGCGAAGCTCATTCAAGGGTAAGGAAGCCATTACAATGGCTTTCCTCTGGTGGTATACACACACACACACACACACACACACACACACACACACACACACACACACACACACACACACACACACACACACACATGTGGTGAATATCTTACATGTGCAGCAGTCTGGAGTAAGCCAGATGTCATCGAGAGCAATATCACCAGTGAACGATGTGCCCACTGTGCCAGTGAAGGTGATCTGAAGACACATAACCGAAATGAAAACACAGAGGAAGAGGATTGAAGGCTGGGTATATTGATACTTGTGCCTAGTGAAATGATGGTGCAGAATTCTGTGCTGGCATGCCGTTGCATGCCACAAGAACCCAGTTCTATCATAGTACGCACGTTGCTCACAGTGGCCCTGTTATCGAATTCCTTAGGTCGGACCCTACAAGCACTACAAGCTAGTCTGCATGCTCCCTCGATCCCTCATGGCCACACAACCAAGCACTAGCTGTGTGTGTGTGGGGGGGGGGGGGGGGTATTCTGTGCTACAGGTATACAATCAAAGTCAGGCGTACAACTAGCAAACTTACTCCGAAACCAGTTTTGCCAGTGATGGGCACAACGGCTCTCTGCCAGAAGTTTCCTTGGCTACCTGTCTTGCTCCACATGGAGGTTGAGCTACCTGACAGAGCCACGGCCAGAGTTCCAATACTGCTGCCATACATGTGGTACCAGAAGACCAGGGCACAGGCGGGGCCCGGTGGAGCCGGCACCTTGGGCATAGAGATCACGGCCGTGTCACCGACGCTGCGTCCGGACGTTTCCATGTAGATGTAGCGTCCTGCAGGTATCGTGGAATAGTAACATGCAGAGAATAACGTATACATTAGCAGGTATCGTGGAATAGTAACATGCAGAGAATAACGTCTACATTAGCAGCGGTGTCGGAAGATATTATAGGGCAGTACGCTCAGCCACCTGAAGTACAATTTACTCGTGGGGTTGGGGTGGCTTCTCTGAGTTTTTTTTTCGAAATTTAGAACCCCAATCAGTGCATTTTATTGATTCGCGGGCGGGTACCAGGGGCGAAGAGTGGTACGGTCAATACCATAGTGACCGTAGAGTATGCGGCGATGCCCCTGCATTGATAGGCACAGCTATCACACAGCCCACAGCTGCCCTTTGTATGGTGAATACGACAGCATTCTTGTGCACTAGTTGCCTGCACAGGGCACATGGAGTTGAGGCCATGTCAAGCAAAACACCAGTAGCAATTGTAGTGGAACCCACGTTCGACCAGCCAGCACTAACGCAACACTTCGGATTAGGGAATGAATTATTTACAAGAGAATTGGAAGAGACATAGAAGTTAGAAGTAAGTTATCAGAACCAGACTGAAGCACACTGAACTAAAGGATCGACTCAACTACTGAAGTACAGAAAGACGGGCATGCAATCTGAGAAAGGAGTGCAGCTACGCACGTGGCTAGACACATGCACAGCATGAGAGGTGTACACATAAAGCAGAGGCGCGCGCATATGGGTGAGCGTGTACACAGCATGGATAGCAACATACAGTGTGACACAAGAGTCATAAGGCACCTAATATAGCAGTTCATAACACCACTCCCCTAGGTGCCATTGATCATCCACTGTATCTAGCTGGCTGTCGTCGATTACCAGGGCCTCGGAGATCGTAGCGCTGAGTCGGCATGTCAGCCGCAAACTCGATGCTCACCACATTATCACAGGCAGCTGGCTCTGGGCGATCTTCGGCAGCATCATGGTTACCATCATCTAGTGTTCCATCTACCTGCTGGGCGTGTCCAGGCTTCACGATATCAACGTTCACGACCTTCTCTCTGCCGTCAGCATGCTGGATCACCAGGGTCGATGGCGAGACTATCTTCAGCACCGTCCAGCCACTCTCATATGGCGTCATGAGCTTCTGACTCCGCTCTGGGCGACGTAGCATCACCGGATCATCGACACGGTATGGTGACTCTGTTGGACCGCCTGACACAGAGTCATTCGAGGACAGTAGCGACTCAACAAGGTCTCGAATTCGAGCAGCGCGCCCGGCGAGTCGGTCTACCCATTCACTGGCGCTGTATGCTGTCGGGTCGTGATCAATTACTAGATCGCGCCCTTCCCAGCCCGTGATGGCCAGCCTTGGCGATATTCCGGTTGTAGCATGGCGACGTCCATTGTAGTAGAACAGAACCAACTCCAGCTCAGACGTCCAGTCACTGGTTTCCTCGAGCGCCTTACGCAGGAGACCGATGATTGTACGGTTGAGCCGTTCAACCCCTCCTTGTGATTGAGGATGTCGAACTGCACCCGTTTTCACCACCACACCAAACTGTTCCAGGAGGGCTGCTACGACCGCGTTCCGGAACTCAGTGCCGTTGTCCATGCGAATGACAGACGGCGGGCCCCACCGGCAGCAGATCTTGGTCAGTGCGGCTGCTACGCTCGCTGCATCGTGTCGACGTAGTGGCTGTACCTCCGCCCACTTGGTGAACATGTCGACGCATACCAGGCAGCAGTGGTGCGCTCCACTCTGGCCAAGCTCCAACGTGTCGATCTGTATGACCTCCCATGGTCGTCCTGGTACGTCTGGACGCGTTGGCTCAACAGTCGGTCCCCGTGCCGGGTTAGCTGCAGAGCAAGGCACACACGCTTGGACAACACTCTGGCATTTCTCGGCCATCAGCGGCATATAGCAGCGCTTGCGCAGTGAGTCATGCATTGTCGTCCAGGTGGCATGGCCAGAGGTCTTGTGAGACGCTTTCAGTACTTGGTCTTCAAGGTCAGGCGGTATGACTGGCACTTGCACGACGCCGTCGAGTGGCAGCTTTACTGAACGCATCAGCACACCGTCATGGTCCAACAGCTGATCACGGACCGGTCTGTACAGCTTCGACGACAGGGGGGTTCCCGACTCCAGCTCATCCAGCAGCTGTGATATCTCAGTATCGGCTTGCTGCGCATCCTTTATCTCACTGAGAGTAACGGGCCCGATAGCATGCTTGTCCGTTGCCACAGAAACAGAACAAACATCACTCGGCTCATCTGTACCCTTGGGCCACCGCCTCGGGACACGGGTGAGCTCATCGGCTGGGTTCTGGTCAGTCGGCACCCACTCCACTCGGACCTTGAGGCCGACCGTTTGGACGAGGTCAACAATCACTTCCAGTCGCCGCTCAACCAGTATCTTGTGCAGCCCACCGACTTTCACTCGGCGCACATTGCCGAGGACCTGCTTCAGCCAGCCGTACACTGTCTTGGAGTCGGTGACGAGTCGTACCGTCTGCAGGTGCCATTGCGCTGCAAGCGACAGTCCACGCACCGCAGCATCTAGCTCCGCCACATTGATGTGCTTCTTATCGGCTGTGTCCCGCAGCCATGTACCGTCTTCGATGACTTGGCCGTTCAGCTGGAGGACCACACCGACTGCCAGATCCGAGGCATCGCAGAACACAGCCCAATCTCCATCGGACTCGGCTGATGCATGCCACACACCACGGACGGGGTCTTGCGCGGACAGCTGCTCAGCAACTTCGTCAGCACACTGAAGAACGCTAGGTGGAACCGGCGTGTCCCATCTGTCCACTGCACTTGATAGCCGCTTCAACATTGAGCAGGCTGGGCGAAGCCATGCGCACACTGGGTAGTGGCTTGTGAGCCGACCTGTCCATTGGAATACACCACGCTTCGTCAGCGGTTGGCGGAAGCTGAGGTCGACTCCATCGCGGCGAGCCCACATGATGGTACCATCAGCAGTCGTCGATAGCTTCAGGCCAAGCACTCGCGCCTCGGGTAGATGCTCTGGTGGCTTTGTCGGCAAGCCATACCGTGCTAGCTCTGCAGCGACGGCCTTGCGCTTCTCCGCTGGCGTGAGGACGTCATCAACGTAGTTGTCCACATCAGGCCATCGTCGCGTCACCCACCGAACAATGATGTCCATGAATTTTGGTGCAATCGATAGACCAAAACCCATCCGTGACATGGCGTACAGCTTCCCACGCCACACCACGACTTGGTAGCGCAAGAGGGATGGGTCGACTCGTACCTGCAAGTACGCCTTACGTATGTCGACAAGTTCAAACTGGCTGTCTGCAACCTGTCGCCACTTGCGGATCTTCTCACCGCATGCTGGGGCATCAGTGCCTGGGTTCGACTTAATCACCGCATTCAAGCCACGGTAATCAAGACAAGGACGAACTGGGGTCGACTCCTTGTGGGCTTGGTCCTTGGCGAGCAGCGGAATGATGGCCGCCGGAGGACCGTGCGTAGCCTCGTCGTACTCGATCAGGTAGCCATTCTCGACCCAGGCGTCCATCTCGTCACAGAACTGCGACTCCTGCTTGTCTGACAGGTTGTGCCTCGCGTACTGTCCGATCCCTGAGCCGATCGGAGATGTAGGAGCTTGCCCATCACGCCACTGCCAGTGCAACGTCCAATGCTGCTTGTCGTTGTCCCACCGGAGCTCTCCGTCTTCGGCCTTCAGGGTCACACCACGATCGTCCTCTGTGACGTCCACATGACGGAGTGTGCTCTCAACGTCAGCTGCAGCAGTAGCGACTGCACCGGTATCTCTAGGTTGAGGACCAAAGCACACGCCATTGACCTCGCCGTCCTGGCCATAACTGAGTCGAACGCCACCAACACCAGCTATAACGTCAGCACCGAGGAGGAGGTCTGCTGCCACAGCCGTCAGTGAGTCGACAACGCAGGCATTCACACGCACTCTTGGCAGACTAACCGGTTCACCATCCCCTTGGCGCTGCAGTTCCACATCAACTGCTCCTCTGATCTTCACCTTGCTGCTATCCACGGATACAACAGACACACGTGGCTGAGCAGTGAACGGAATCTTGTGAAGTTTGAGGAACTCGACCGTAACCATTGTGTAACTTGCACAAGTGTCCACTGCTGCTCTAGCACGTGCCCATTCGCTGCCTACCACGCCTCGCACGTCAACGTAGATTCTGGGCAGTGAAGCTCTAGTAGCCTCGGCTACAGTGCACAAACACGCACCCCTCGCCAGGGAGCCACCGTCTGCAGCCGTTGCTGCTCCAGACGATTTCCGCTCTTGCCAGGCTTTACGCTCCGGACAGTCACTCTTCATGTGACCTGGCTTGTCACAGAAGTAACAGGTTCGAGGGCCAGTACGCTCGCCGCGCGTTCCTTTACCAGCACCACTCTTGCGACCAGATTTCTTCGCTTTCGGGCACTGCCGCGCCATGTGGCCAACTCCGCCACAGTTGAAACATGCCTGCTCATCCGTGGTGGCAGCTGCCACAACAACATCGCCACGCACTCGTGTCAAGTGGTCCGAGGTCGCAGCCTTCAACGCCCGTACCACGTCCAGGCAACCCGTCACACTCAACTCTTTGCCCGCCATCGTAAGTCTTAGCTCTCGGGCAAACTCTACCGGCAGTCCCTTGATCAGCTGCTCTATGATCATCGGGTCCTTGTCGTCATCAGCCTTGTGCCCCGCCATAGTACTCAGTCGCTGCAAATCGGCAACGTAGGCGTCGGGGGACTCATCCACGCGCATCGTCCGTGAGGTGAATCTGGCGTACGCCTGCGCCTTCGTCAGAGTGAACGACAGTCCCATTTTCGCCAAGACTTTATCTTTGTCTTTCTGATCGCTTGCCGGCATCCGTGAAAATACAAGAAACGCGTCATCCGTCAGGAACAACGGAAAATTCTTCACTTTCTTGTCGTCCGTGTCCCAACCTTGTATGTTTGCAAGCACCAGAAACTTATCCCAAAAACGTCCGAAATCGTCCCCGTTCCCACGGAACGGCTGGAGGAAGTTGTCAAACTTGAGCGACATCTCGCTGGCGTGGCAGGGTTTGCACTCGTCAATACAACACACACGTCCCGGGTTTCGGCACCAGTTGTAGTGGAACCCACGTTCGACCAGCCAGCACTAACGCAACACTTCGGATTAGGGAATGAATTATTTACAAGAGAATTGGAAGAGACATAGAAGTTAGAAGTAAGTTATCAGAACCAGACTGAAGCACACTGAACTAAAGGATCGACTCAACTACTGAAGTACAGAAAGACGGGCATGCAATCTGAGAAAGGAGTGCAGCTACGCACGTGGCTAGACACATGCACAGCATGAGAGGTGTACACATAAAGCAGAGGCGCGCGCATATGGGTGAGCGTGTACACAGCATGGATAGCAACATACAGTGTGACACAAGAGTCATAAGGCACCTAATATAGCAGTTCATAACACAATTTACTCGGAGTTGCCATCGTTCGATTCCTCACAGCTCAAACGACAAGAACTGACAGGTAACCGTTAGATCAAAATCACAAAGTGTTTATTTTGCTGCGGAGACAGTAACTCTATCTTACCAGTTCCGGTGCCTGTTGTGTGGTCGACAGATGGGCCGGTGCTTCCACTTGGAGTTGCACCTGCAGCCAACGTCCAGTCAAACTTGTCTGATTTGGACTGGACAAGGCTTGTCAATGGTCTTGTTGTCTCAAAGTTGATCTGAGAGGAGCAGGCTAGAGCATGGAAAAGCGGACATAAGGAAAAATGGCAACACTCAGAACAGCAGACACCCCAGAAATGGGGACACTCAAAATAGCGGACATACGGGAAATTGGCCATGCTCAGAACTTGACAAACGGTCCACTTGCTGATCCAGACAGCAGTGTTTTTTTGACACCATACTTGCAGAGATCTACAGATCTTGCACAAACCCAGACTCCGACTGACTAACAATGTTCGGTTCAGTGCTGCAGAACTTACACACACATCCGCAGTCAGCAGAGAATGAGATGTCATCGATGGCAATGTCTCCCGTGAAGCTGGAGCCAGCAATGGCTTCGAAGCGGAACTGCAGGACAGAGGAACACAAAAGCAACAGGCAACGTGACATCAGCACACTGATCACAAATGATCTTGGAGATTATGACACACATTCAAAGTTGGAGCGATCAGGTGAAAGCACCCGAACTGTATCGCAACTAACAGTTGTTTGGGTTGTGCAAAGACCCCATTCCATGACACACCACACCATACCCAGAATTCCTCCTTACTCACCGTGTGAACCCAGGCACGGTACTGTGGCACAGTAACACTGGTGCTGATCCACAGGTTTCCCTGGTTACCGCTCTTAGACCAGGCCATGGACTGGCCGTAGTAGGAGTTGATGAAGACCTTCAGGGTGCCGATGGTCGTACCATACATATGGTACCAAAACGTCATCTTGCAGTTTCCACTGGTGGGAGGAAGGTATGCTGGTGATACCAGCACTGCATTGTCGCCAGCTCTTCGTGGTGAGCTGGTCTCCAGGTAGGCATAGTAGCCTAGAACAAGACAGGATAATAGACAACTCAGTCAACCTTGTGAATATCGGCCTCGGGCATAGCAACACCTGGCGAATAACAACCATCTACAGACTTAGCAGCCACTTGACTGCATGCTTTAAACCTCACGAATAGCGACAACTGGCGAATAACAACACTTTGCTCATGCACAATTGATGGCAGTTATTCGCAAAGTCTTTGGTGTTCAAATAAGACTATGGCAATGCGTACTATTCCAGTATGCACTGTCAGTCCTGATAACTAAGCTTCAAATAATTACCTAGAACCTCATTTTAAGGAATTAGGCGATATGGGAATACTCCTTGCATTATCCTGACGAGCAAATAGTGGTGTGAGAAGTAATCCCCAAACCGAACCCTAATGTAAAAACAGGGCTGTAAAAGCCTTATATAAAACGAAGTGCTAAATCTAAGGAGTTAACGAGGAGAAGTCTGTCTTTAAAATAGAAAAATGTTATACAGAAATCCATACTTACACTGTTGCTAGTGAGCGATGAGAATAAGTGAGAATCGTTGCCTTTGGTACACGTAAACCGGTCAATTTTAGGAAATCGTTATATTCGCGGTTCGTTAGAATAACGGCTTTAACAGTAGTTTAGGATTTATGTCCTACGGCACTATGCAAGCTGCCAACCTACCAGCTCCAGTGTTATATGTCCTACGGCACTATGCAAGCTGCCAACCTACCAGCTCCAGTGTGGTCAGCAGGTGGACCTGTGCTCGAAGAGCCGGTGGCACCCTTCTGTAGTCTCCAGTTGGTTGTGTCGTAACCTTCCTCCCAGAAGCCTTGATAGCTGGAAGATGTTGTGTTTCCAAAGGCCACTGTTGGATGACAGTCTATATGTACAAGCCATACAAGCAAAGATTCAGCAAACATCATCTAACCATCACTATCATCAGAAGCCTTACAACATCATTGTGAGGCAACTTGCTTTTGCAAGAAACTGAAATGGCAAAGATCAACGGACAACTGATGCCGTTGGATATGTCACATCTGTACCGTTTGCACATTAAGTAACACCATCTCGCCAGCTGCCATTCCCTTTGTCCAACGAGATTCATCTACACAGTCACGGTCAGTGGTACGAAGCCCTGGAGGGATAGTTTGCCAAATCCTCCTTCTGCCCACTCAATCTTGATGACACTACCCAAGCCTGGTCAGTGTCCCACTTGTTGGCATGGTGATCATGACATCACAATGCCATTGGTGTACTGTACCTTTGCAGCAGGATGTCTCGAAGGAGATGTCATCAATAGCGATATCTCCAGTGAAGCTGGTGCCATCAATACCTTCAAACATGATCTGAGATATTGAAAGTGCAGACAGCAGCAATATAGGATACTGTAAATATACAAGAATTCCTCCCTGTGTCTATGTAACGAATTTGGCGGAGAACCAGCTGCAACGGCTCGCTGTCCTGGTTGCTGGAAAGTGCCGCATGCACAATTAATGCAACAAGCCCAGCACCAGGCAGGGTGATAACACCTCACTGCTCACTACTCAATAGAACGTTACCCTACCAAGACGGTAGTGCAAAGTCTAAATCTGCCTCTCACCTGGAAGTTGCCCAGCGACGGACTCAGAGCCACGGTGGCCAGGAGCCATGCGTTGCCCTGGTTGCCGCTCTTGGTCCACGCCGTGCTGGTGATGCTGTTGGTGAGCGAGTAGAGTTTGACATTCAGCGTGCCGATGGCCGAGCCGTACATGTGGTACCAGAACGACATCTTGCACGCAGCGTAGACTGGCTGGAAACTCGGTGACACCAGGACTGCATTATCACTAGTGCCGGTTGAAGATGTCTCGATATACAGATAATGGCCTGTGGGGGGGGGGGGGGGAGGGGGGGGGGGTTGTATCGACACCAGACACACTATGTAAGTGTTTCACGGTATCACTTCAGCCAGACAGGAATAGCAATTATAAGAAAAAGTTAGGTACTAACCTATGGATGGGACACGACTGATCTGCTTTCATCCAAACAATCTCCTCTATATCCCGTGCACCAGGCACAGGAAGAAAGGAATTTTGCAAAAGGAAAGTCGTTCCAGTTCAGAAAATGGTGCTGTCAGCATAGTGTGAACATAATACATGTCCTTACATCAAACACAGCTATGTTATACTCTGGACGCATCTTACCAGCTGCAGTTCCCAGTGTGTGATCTATGCTCGGTCCTGTAGAAATCGAGGGTGTTCCGCCGTTGTCAATGGTCCAGTCGAATTTGTCGGTTTTCGATTGTTTCCAGGAGTTCAGGCCTGTCGTCTCAAAGTCAGTCAGGCCAAGCGAACACACTGTAGAAAGGAGCAGAAAGAACCGTATTGGGTGGGTGGGTAGGGGCTTGAGCTGTCAGCCAGGAGAGCACGGCTCCTACAACAGCAACGCCTATTGATTAGCTACAAATGCGGCATGTTGACATGCCATCAACACAGTACGCATGTGCTTCAACAAATTCCTCTGCACAACATCAACAGGAACAGTGAGTATATCCATGCATGCCAGCAGCCTATGCAGGCGTACTGTTGACAATACACTACAGTGTTTAAAGTGAAGATTCAGCCAGGCAGCCAGGCAGCAGTAGCAGTCAGCAGAATCATTGCCCGATTTGCTTAGCCCAGCAGCGCTCACTGTGACAAAGGATGTACACGTAGAAGTAAAGTGCAGACAGCGGCACAGCTCAACCAAATCCATGTGCTCCGGAGTACGGTAGGTGAGAATTCGGCTACTGAAGACTGTGCACACTACTCACCTGTTGCTTGTGCTGGTGGTACGGTGGGTGTTCCTGGCGTGGCAAACTCTGCATTGAAAATTATCACATACATGCAAACGCACGTGCACATGGACACACGCATACAGACACGCACATGGACACACGCATACAGACACACACACAAGTCAGAATCTCACCATCGTACTCCAGGTACATTTCAAAAAATCTGGTACAAAGCCACCATGCCGAATGGAGTATTTTCACCGGTCCTGGGCTACCAGTTCCTGTAGTGTAATGGGATGATTCTAGTATTGCAATGAGTGCAGATCAGGAAATGCATTCGACGAGATCGCCAAGGGATAACCTGCTTAACGCCATTGCTGGGCTAATGCTAACCATTGGCATACGTTGCCTATTAACCATAAGTTGGCAGTGTGGCTTTATTGGAAGTGAATTGTCACTGACTGAGCCATCAGAGCTCTAAGCCACATTCGATGCATGCATTACGGCAAAGGAGTGCGATCAAAAAATCTCGTTCTAAACTTAACTAGAATCTAAAGCAAGCCAGAGAAGAACACATGGTATGCTGTTTCCTAGTGTTCCTGTACCTGCAACTCTGTAGAGGTCGTACTTGCTGCTTGCACCCATGCGATACGAGTTGAGATGGTTATTGGACCATCTAACCCGCACCCATCCCGTGGATGATCCATCAAGCACCCCGGTGATGTTGCCGAATGCGCCCGTTCCTCCATCTTGTAGTCCCCAGCTCCAGTCCCTGCCACGCACAACACGCTCTCCGAGAGGGAAGTACTGCTTAATAACAGTGGAGCTGTATTGGCTCCAATCTATTGGTAACAGGAACACACACACAGTCAGGCAGAGTCAGGTGCAGTTAAGGGTGAGCTATTGTCAAAGTCTGAACACCTCCCCTGCTGAAAACAGCACGAGCGCCTACAGAAGCCAAACCTAAAGCCATAAAGATATCGACCTCATCCTATTGCACCGAGGCTGGGCATGCATGCATAAGCCAACAGGTTCAATGAGGCTTGCATCACACATAGAACACTGGTGCGTTTAGCATGCCGGAGGTACCCAAGCTTGGCATAGGATATAGGGTAGGATACAGGGTAGGGTAGGGTAGGGTAGGGCAGGGCAGGGCAGGGCAGGGCAGGCCAGGGTAGGGTAGGGTAGGGTAGGGCAGGGCAGGGCAGAGCAGGGTAGGGCAGGGCAGGGCAGGGTAGGGTAGGGTAGGGTAGGGCAGGGCAGGGTAGGGTAGGGCAGGGCAGGGCAGGGCAGGGTAGGGCAGGGCAGGGCAGGGTAGGGCAGGGCAGGGCAGGGTAGGGTAGGGTACAGGGTATACAGTCAAACAGTGTGAATAACGACGTCGGGGTATAAGAACAACTCGTGAATAACAACACAATCTCCAGACCTAGTGACCATTTGACCATACATGTATGTATGTATTTGCACTGTCATGTGTCAATACACCGCCATATGTACAGTATTGCTTCATGTATCGGTATGCGCTTGTAGTGTTACAAGGGTGTTGCCATACAACAGCGGGAAAAAAAAGAACAGGCGGAGGTGGAGTATGTTTAATATCGGCTACTTACCAACACAGTATGTTGCCAGGTCAGCCTTGATATCATCCAGTGCAATGTTACCCAGTGCACCTCTGTAGGTCCCCGTGAACTGGAGCTGTAGTTGCCAGCAGGCACAGCATCAATAGAAAAGCAATGAAATGTAAGCAGTGTTAGAGACGTAAGTTTGCACATCAATAATCACGTGCATGCCCAAACCTAAAATGTAGCCCGTTCACTTTTTCTCCCCCTCTCTCTTTCTCTTTCTCTATCTTTCTCTCTCTCTCTCTCTCTCTCTCTCTCTCTCTTTCTCTCTTCTCTCTCTCTCTCTCTCTCTCTCTCTCTCTCTCTCTCTCTCTCTCTCTCTCTCTCTCTCTCTCTCTCCTCTTCATTCCTGGGTATTTTAGGCCTGTTCCACTCCCTCACCCTATGCTGGCATTCCACACAGAGTCATTACTCTAGTGCTGCTACATGGATCCGGTGATAAGGAAGGCGAAACGGGATTACTTCTGCAATGCCCCCGAGTTGTGTTAGCATGTAACAAACGTACCTGGTACGGCGCGGAAGCTGAGATAGTGACCTTAGCAGTCTGCCATGCCGTGCCCTGATTGCCCGTCTTGGTCCACAAGCTTGTCTTCACGCCGGAAACGATCATGTCAAGAGACAGCGTGCCAATGCCGCTTCCAAACATGTTGTAGGAGAACTGCATCTGACCACCGGTGCGGCGAGGTGGCAAGTACGTTGGGCTCAGGAGAGTAGCTGAATCACCCGAACTTCCTCCACCCACAACCAAAAAGATATAGTGACCTGGTTGGTGAGGAAGATGAGCAAAGTCAAGTCATTGATCAATTTAACAGTTCTGTCAAAGAAATACACTCGCACAGTGATGGTAAGGCTATTTCAGGAGTCGGGTATTTGCTTCAGGTCTGAAAATACAATTCCTTTTTTTATCTTTTTTTTCTACAAAATCCACATATATCTCCAGGCACTGGGGTGAATAATGGAGTGTGGTGGTGGGGCCCATTAAGCTCCGCCGACCAGAGGTCTCGGCTTCATAGCTCCATGGACGCTCCAGCAGGGCGTAAAGCAGAAAGCAGTCAATAAATAAATAAATTTCACGGTTCGCGTGAGACTCGGCTGGAAGCCGAGTTTTCCGCATCCGCCGTGGGAACGCCACCACCCTCTAGGATCAAGGCACATATGCAGCTCCTAAACGGTGGGAGGTGAGTAGATCAGACCCATCACCAAGTGGTCAAAGACCGAAATCCCATTAGCTGCATCCATGTTACCCTCGTGCCAGGCCACGAGTTCCCAATTAACTGTGGGTCGCAGCACGGCTGGAAAAATTCCTTCCGCTTCCAGTCAATACCTCCAACCTTAGTGCCCAATGTATGCCGTTGATGCCCGTGCTGTCTACCCTGAACTTACCAGATGCATTCTTGAAGGTGAAGTCATTTGTGGGTCCCGTGCCGGTTGTTGGTGTACTTCCAGTTGTGATGTTCCACTGCAAGTTACCAGTTCCAGGATACCAACCCATAGGGCCACCAATCTCGAAGTCAGTCGGCTTAACGACACATGCTGCAGGTGGCAAGAATGAGGTCCATGTGGGATTAAGGCGAGAAGCTAGTCTGATTAGCGCTCACTGGTCCGACACAGAAGGCAGCCAACTTACTTGCACAAATAGCTATTCTGGCAATAAATACTTCAAGATAACAAACAGTGTGCTATGCATGTACTCATTGTCTGGAGGTCCATCATCATCGCGATCCCTCAGTTTCACTAGAAATTACTTGCAGCCATAAAAGGAGGTTGAGGATTGTTTGGCAGCCATGGCAAAAAATGTGGTACACAAAGCATTGCGTTGCTAGTCATCATCTCAAATCTGTCAATGTTTATACAGCAAATACCACCGGATGAGTGTGTATCTGGAACACAATACTTACGTGACTCGGGGCCTGGGCAACACAGAAAGAAGAGCAAAGAACACACAGGGTACAGTTATGGATTTAATACAACTTATCATAGCCAGTAGTTCATGGCGTAGCACACACATGGGGTGCGTGCAGACGAATGCGGGTACAATTGATTTTTGTTTCGGTAATCTTATAATTACTGTGCGTCTGTATGTGATTACTGTACCCTGGGTCTGGAACTGCTATAGTGGTTTTAAGCCATGTGGCAGCCTGCTTGCTGCTTGCAGCCTGCTTGCTGGCACCCAGAATACAAGACCAGTACTCCAGTCAAAGTAGTGCATGTAGTGCCCTTGTGCCAGGAGGCAGCCTCAGGGTATGAAGTGAATGCAAGACGAGGTGGTGAGAATCATTCTTTAGCTTCAGAGAAGCTCTTCATACTGCATGGTGCTAATCCTCTAATCCCTCATACACTGCAGATTTAGTAGTCTCTAATCCCTCATACCCTGAAGATTCAGGTGGATGAAAAGAAATCAGTCCACCCGAGCACTTACAGCAATGGCGCACAGAGATCTGATCAATAGCAATGTCTCCGGTGAAGGAGCCTCCTCGGATGGCCTCGAATTCCAGCTGGAGACACACGAACATACAATAGTGTTTATGTACGAGATTGGAATATCCGAATGGAACATTCTTCTTAAAATAGCAGACGCACCAGCAGAAAAAGAAGTCACGCCGACATACAAATTACATCATGCCAGAAAAGGCTGCGAGTTTGGTTACCTGGAATTTGGTGGTCTGGCCGACGAAGAAATCCTTCCAGCGCCAGCTGTTGAGTGATCCTCCGGACTGTGTGAACATGACCTTGTTGATGCTGCCGGCAATGAGCCTGACATTGAGCGTGCCAATGGAGGATCCGTACATGTGGTAGAAGAAATTGACGTGGCAGCTCTTCGGCGTGCTGGGCGCGTTGAACACGGGGGAGAGCAGTTTGGCGTTGTTGCCAGTTGATCCACCGGAGGTTTCCAAGTACATGTAGTAGCCTGACGGACATATTGCACGCGCACAGGCAGGTGCACACAGGGCAGATGCACACAGGGCAGCATAGAAGGTGAACATCATTGTGCATACCAGTTACTAGTTGTGTGTAGTATAAACTTAGTATTTATTCAAAAGCCAGGCAACAACCAATTTGAACAGAGAGCGCATAGAGCTGGCTAATGTATATTATCTTGGTGCTTTCCTAGGCTACATAATATCTGCAAGCTACACAACCCTACATATACTTCCTCCGGGAACAAAAACTTCGTGACTTTTCTATTCACATTCTAAGGAGTTTAAAATATGCTCGAGGAGTTTGGTGAAGTGAAACAAAAACAGTTCAACCCAAAGAGTGGATATATTCATTTTTAAGACGTACACTGTTATACCAAAGAAATTGGCACCATTTGAGTCGAGGCACCATCGCTTGATTCCTCAGAGGTCAATTAAAAAAAAAGACAGCTTGATTGATGTCATGAAGTTACGTTTGCGAGGGAAGTAGAATATTGAGCAGCTTAGGAAAATGAAGACCTTTCCACTGCAACTGTACGTTGGATAGTGGTAAGCAAGTTAAAGAAGGCTAGATGGTAGCTCTACCAGAACGTTGACATACCGTTTATTGGTGTATCAGGTGTGGCATCCTGGGTTGGCCCAGTGGCAGTGCTGGTGGTGCTGCCTGTACGGCGAGTCCAGTCTGTGTTGTCCGTCTTCACCTGCGTGTAGCCGTTCAGACCGATATCGAACGTTGCCGTCTCCACGTAGCAGGCTGTACAGGCGTGCGTGGGCAAAACGAGACAGTCAATGTGAGCGATTGACAGCATACACAAAGAGAATTGTGGTGCTGCGCAAACATCTCCCACCCACAGCCACTGGCAGCAGTCTGAAAGGATGGTATTAGTCCATGCCAATTGCCAATCTCCTAATCTCAGCATATCCATTCACCAACGACAGAAACACACATGCGAACACGACTTGTTTCACGTTTCTCTAAGAACTTACACTTTTGCGCCACTGAAGACCATCAGACAATCATTATGCCACCAGATTGCACAGTCCAGCATTGTCAATAAATTGGCCAAGAAAATCACACAGACACAGACACACACACACACACACACACACACACACACACACACACACACACACACGCACACGCATACACACACACGGAAAGCAATACATCTCTTGAAGTCCATCTTTGAGATCTAAGGTGTTTAAATCAAATTCCACCTGGCAATTTTCAAACAACATACATGTCTAAGCAGGAAAGTGACAGGTTGATCCATTTGACGCCCATAACTCATGAATGGGAGAGCACATAAGCCTTCAAGCACCAGTATCCCTAAAGCATAAATCAAGACCACAATTATGCCCGACACAAAACTCTCTCAATGCGCACACACCTGCACAGCAAGATGAGCTGAAAGCTATGGTGTCAATAGCAATGTCTCCTGTGAAGCTGCTGCCACTCGTTGCAACAAATTGGAGCTGCAAACGGCGAGAGAAAAGAGTACATGTGAGCAGGAATATTCCATTGGATGTATAACCAGCATCGGAATAAACATAAACAGCAACCCACGAAGTACAGAGGGATAGCCAGTCACGAAAAAGGAGGACAACCACAAGTGCACCAGGGGGGCAACGATGATGGCTGTCCTATTCTAAGAGTGTTCAAAACTAGAAACAGCCTAGTGAGCATGCACCAATGGTCACCATTCCTGGGCTTTCATCATCACCCTGGATATTCGGATATGCACTTCCTGAACGTCATAAGCTGCAGGTGATAAGCTGCATCCTGCGTAGCCTCTAGCCTCCACACTGGCAGTATCCATGAACATTGTACATTCGGCACATTGCCACATTGGCAGTATCCATGAACATTGTACATTCGACACATTGCCATACTGGCAGTATCTAATGTTACAAGCATTGTATGAAAATTGTACATTTGGCACATCGAAAGCTTACAAACCTAAATTGCATGCACAGCACGTTAGGCTAATGCTAACTACCTTGGTAAATCACTAACCTGGAAGACAGTGGAGACCTTGGACAGAGAAACGGTGGCGGACTTCCATGAATTTCCTTGGTTACCGGACAGAGTCCACAACTGAATGGCAGAGCCGGATGATGGGACGGCGTTAACGGTCAGCCTGTTAACCGTTGCGCCATACATGTGATAGAAGAAGGAGAACTGACAGGTGGCGACAGGGGCAGAGTAGACCGGGGAGAGAAGACTCGCCACGTCTCCACTGACGCGCGGCGACGAGGTCTCTATGTACATATAGTAGCCTGCAGAATTCAAGAAAGGAATCAAACACAACGTCTTGATTGCCAACTACCAACGTACCAGGTATATGCGTCCAGACTCTCCTGAATAGGGATGTGGCCTGATTAGATGGTGTGCCTATGAATTAGCCGTAGGGAAGAGTTGGGGCTGAACAACTGTGCCACCAAGTCTGGAGAGGTCCCTTAGAAAATTCTGCTGCCGATCAGAACACACATGCTAGAGGCTCTGCTGCTGCTGCTGCTGCTGCTGATGATGATGATTATGAGGATGATAATGCTGTGTTTGTGTGTCCTCTATGGGAGAGCAACAATAGTATTCCTCTGACGCTAGATTCAATTAGTGGAGAGAGTCACATCAGAGCGTTCATCATGATTCTTTTCGTGATAGTCTTCAAATCCCAAGCAGTTGCTGATTGCTTTCCTTTTCCTCATCCGAATTCTTTACCTCTTTGGTCTCGCATGCACAAAATGTCAAATTGTCAAACTCTCGAGGTCAATTATTATCGGCTATTCATCGGTTGGTCTTAAAATTACCTGAGCCAGACTGGTCAGATGAAGGACCAGTGCTAATTGAGCCAGTTGATCCCCTCTGTCGAGTCCAATCAAATTTGTCCGTCTTATCTTGAGTGTAGCCGTCGAATCCAGAGTTGAAAGTAGTGATGGTTGAAGTGCATGTTGAAATGCCGCCCACGCAGCATCCATCCGAGAACGTGATCTCATCAAGGCCCAGGTAACTATCTGTGCTTGCATTTCCACGTACTGCGGCAAAGACAAGTTGGAAGTCTGAGGCAGCAAGAGCAGTCTTGGCAAGAGTGACTTGTGCCTGGACACACACACACAGACATACACACACACACACAGACATACACACACACACATACACACACACACACATACACACACGCGCGCGCGCGCACGTGCGTGCACACACACCCTCAATCTGCTGACCAGCAGTGTTCTGCCAGCCACAAAAGAAAGCTGCCGGTTCTGTGCGTAGGCCGCTACTTTCAGCAGGCTTTGTTCTGGCAGTTCAAACTTTGTGAGGTTGCTTGTAATTTCAACTTGCTCTCTGTGTTAAATTAAGATCGACACCAATGCATTTAGCAAGGCTCAGAGAGTTACTTACGAGCCTCCAGCTGGTTGATCCACCAGCCGGTGCAGTCCACAGTGTAGTCATCTTGCCATTGATCAGCAGATTCAAGTTGGAGGATGAGATAGTTGACGAGTAGTACTTCCAGTAATAGAAGCGTATCTGGCAGGCCGCAGGAATTGGCGGCGAGGTGAACAGCGGGCTGAACAGCAGTGCAGACTTGCCACCGGCAACCGAAGAAGGTATGTAAGTAGACAGGTACTGTGTTGGACCTGGTAGCAACACACACACACACACACACACACACACACACACACACACACACACACACACACACACACACATACACACACACACACACACACACACATACACCCCCACACACACACACACACATACACACAAATGCATGGGTCGTGTGTGTGTTTGGATTAGGGCTGGAACGATTTTACCGATTACTTACCACTTCCTACGGCATCCGTTCTAGGTGCAGTGCCAGACAGGGCAGTTGCCGGCCGGGTCCAGTCAAAGGAATCAGTGGCTGCATTGTAGAAGCTGTCTGTGGTGGATTTGAATGATGCCTTGTAGATGGGTGTTGTGCACACTGAAACAACAGAAGAGGAAGATCAGATACGGATATGGGTTTGTCAGGTCGTGTATTACTATATTCGTGCAGCTGACGCCATTGCAAGTACGTAGCTTGCAGCAAATCAATATCTAAACACACAAACACACACACACGCACGCGCGCACTGTGATAATGATGCTACAATGGATGCAACTCCCATCTTGCTCATAGGAAATCACCACCCGGCATCACCAGCAATATACAGCTAGGTTGAACGTGACTTACAGTTAGCGGATGTGCTACCGGCACAGCAGTCGTCATAGAAGCCTATGTCATCGATAGCAATGTCACCAGTGAAGCTTGTTCCACGAATACCTTCAAATGACAGCTGAACAAGAGCGTGCAGAAAGGTTACAGTTGACGTGAGACGTAAACAGTTTTCTCGGATTACCTAGCCGGGGTCGGCAGACCATCTCGGTATTCAAATCAACTTTGCCTCAACTCAATCCTAGCCCTCAAGGTCATTGTGGCCGTGTGCATCCTAATGCTTTTGCATGACGGCAGACCTGCACACATTCTTCTCTCTGTCAACAGAAATGTGTGCCTAGTGCGGAGGAGCATTAAAAACTCTCGGGACTGACTAACTCCCACAGATATTTGTTAGAATTTTCCACTACCCAGTCTCAACAGCCAATATAGCATTTTTGTTATCATTTGTTGCATGCTTAGTAACCGGTTGAAGTACTTCTTGCAATGGACGTTATTCAGGTGACAACAGAAGTCATGGATGTACTACGCTCCCTCGCCTCAGCTGGGTTGCTCAACATTCTTTCTGGTTTGCGTCAAAGTTATGTGCCCTGGTACAAAGCTCGCTGCGTTGATCACAGCTAGAGCACTCTGACCTTGATGCTTTGAGCCTGTTTGAAAATACTTTGTCGTTCATTTTAGACTTCATTGCGATCAGTTTAGCCAGTCGCTCTGGGCTTTGCCGACGAGACCTAACAAGGTCGAAACAGCTATTTGTCCGGACGTTGTGATTGTGTACTGTCTTATGTACATATACATATATATATTTTATTTTGAGCAATTCCCACCTCTTCGCCACCTCCGTTTGTTCCACATATGGCCTATCAGCACAAGATACGAGAATGCGAATATCCTCTGCATGATTTCAGGAAGCCATGCAGAACTTCTAGTAGCATGGATGTTGCATTGGTTAATGCCTACCTGGAATGGACCAGATGTAGCTGCTGGGACAGTGTTCAAGGGCACGCGTGCGTAGAGCCAATTGTTGCCCTTGTTTCCGCTTTGCGTGAAGACCCGGACATTTGCAGTGGAAGTCTTCACGTAGACGTTCAGCGTACCGATGCTGGCACCGTACATGTGGTACCAGAAAGAGAAGGAACAGACCTTTGTGCCGCTAAGGGTGTACTGTGGCGAGTAGATAATGGCTTTCTGACCCGCAATCCTGGGTGAAGAGGTCTCGATATACAGATAGTAACCTGAAAACACGCACACATAGCCGTAGAAGCACTGTGGAACATGCCTTGTTGTTCACCCATAGAAAGAGTGTACACTCGTATACGGTCACAACAGGTTCATTCACGAAGCATTGAACATTCATGTGGCCTTTGAAAACTACTGACCGGTTAGACAACAATTGGGTGCAAGCTATGAGTAACGGCGGCCCGTCAAATCAACTACAAACTAAGCAGCCAGACCGTGCCACAATCGGTTACAAAACTGACTGATTTCTAGCACCTGCCGCAACCCGACATTTAGCTCCAACTAGCCGAGTTCCATCTAGTGCACATACAACCATAATGTGATTTTTTGTAGATCAGACCTGCCAGCCATTCCCATCAGGCCAAACAGTTTGGACTCATATCGGGCTGACCCTGGCGACACAAATCACTTACCAGAGCCATCTGAATGATCTGACGAAGGACCTGTACTGCCGCTGGTTGTTGATGCACGTCTTCTGGTCCAGTCAAATTGATCGATGCCAGCAGCTTGTGTGTAGCCGCTCAGTCCTGTTGTGAAGTCAGCAGTGGGTGCCTTGCATGCTGATATACGATACACATGCAGAGCAAACCCACACACATGTTGCAGCACACACACACACACACACACACACACACACACACACACACACTTACACACACACACACACACACACACACACACACACACACACACACACACACACACACACACACACACACACATACATACACACACACACACACACACACACACAGGTACACACGGAAAGAGAGTACAATAATAAGTCCTAAGATTCTTCAAAATTAAGGTCGGTTAATTAACGGTCCATCCACATACTGACTATGACCTATTTACCATGTTTACTATTGGTGATTTTACATGCAGGAATTAGAAAGAAGCCAGACAGACAGACAGCTAGTGGTGTATACTTACCGTTTGTTGTAGCTGGTGCACGATGCAGAAGGTGAAAGCCAACCATAGAGCACAAACGCATTCACACGTGCATGCACACAAACATACATACACACACACACACACACACACACACACACACACACACACACACACACACACACACACACACGTGCACATACCCCCACACAATACAACAAAAAGAATATTTAAAAAAATGCACGCGGCGATCAGAAGTGCACAGAGCTGCTCCGATAATGCCCAGACAATAGCATTGAAGCTGAAAGGGAAAGGCATACCTATCCATGTACTTTTCACTGTAAATAATGTACTTTTCACTGTAAATAATGTACTTTTCACTGTAAATAATGTACATTTCACTGTAAACACAGGATACTGAGATAAAATACACTCATCGCGGCAACTTGTCCGCCATGCATACAACTTGAACGTACTCTGCGCGCAGCATTTCGAGGAGAAGACAATGTTGTCGAAGGCAACAGTGCGCAGGGTGCTTGACGTGCCCTGGATCTTGAAGTCGAAGACAAGCTGGAGAGGACAAACCGGCAGCATGACATAGGAACAGCATCATCATGTTAGAAAGCACAAGACCAGGATGAGGAGAACATCAGCTACAAAATGACAACTACACTGACCAACTGCCAATTGCCGTCACTGTACAAACATGTACGGTGAAAGATGGCCGTACCTATCTGGGAAATGGACCCATTTTCCACCTGACTTACGCGGAAGACCTTCTTGGAGAGCGAACTAGGCAGTGCCACAGTGTATGTTGTCCATGAACTGATGGCTGAAAAGGTTTTGGTGGAAATTGTAGTCAGTGCAGAGTCAGTCTGGTAGCGAATAAGCACAACAGGCGAGTCCTGGGCAGAGTAGGGAATCTGAACATCACAGCTTGCTCCGGAGAATGTGTACGCAGGCGAGATGAGTCGAGAGAACTGGTTTGCAGATGCGCTGCTCGTCGAAGACTGCTGAGCATAGATGTAATAACCTGCAATACACAGTACACGGCATCAAGAGAACAACGATGGTCACAGACTGCCACTTTTTCATCAATTGACATGACCTTCTCCAGCCATACCATGAACGTTAAAAAAAAAGAGAGAATCGCAGCCGGAGAAAATCCTTTTCAATGCGGTTCGTAGCCGGGAAGAAGAGTTCAATGATGGGCACTATCCTAGTGTCATCAGTGCGGCACTGCATGCATGCAGACAGTTTACTGGGACGCACAAACCAGCCAAACAGCACGACCGTGACCAAAGCCTAATACCAAAGCCTCTAGAATGTTTGCTTTTCTCCAGGGACTACTGGTCAGTGTAGACATCTATTCAGTCACTCACAAGACAGCCATTGTGCTAAACAGATCTTCTTTAGTTCTCTATCAGAAGTGCGCCATGTCATCTCTCTCGTGCTATACATAAAGCGGTACAAGCACGTGCATGCCTGCACGTGCGTACATAGTACTACATACAACTGCATGTACGATATCTACATTACCCCCCTTCCCTCAAAAAGAAAAAAAAAGAAAAAAAGCAGAGGAATGTACGTACATGTGTTCGAGTAAAAGAGAGACGGGAAGTGTTGCAACTATTAGAAATAATCTGACTCAAAACTTGAGGCAAAAACACCAGGAAAACGGAAGTTTGAGTTACAATGCAAACTCGACCAATAAGGGGAAAAAATGAAGAAAAATCTAAATATTCACAAGGTAGTTAGAAGATTCTAAACAACGCCAATCTGGTAGCGATTGAAGCCACTCATTTGGTAATGCATGACTCGACGACTCAGATGTCAGCTTCACGTGCTTTCTCTGTAAGCTTGATCTGACGGCCAGCTCTGGTCTGTACGCCCTCGCGGAATACACTTGGACGAGATGTTGGCGGTGACAGTGACATACAGGCCGGTGTTGCAGGTGATGCTGTCGTCTCCGGTGAAGCTGCAGGAGACAACGGCAATGTGAGCGCAGTTACCGGAGCTTCGGGCCTGGATGTTGCGCTGCTCGCTGACGGAAGGCTTGTTGGGTCGGACACTGGCAGTGCTGGAGCACACACTGGCTCTGGCACATGCTCCCTCTCTGACTGTGCCGGAGGTTCACTCATGGGTGCTTTCTCCGCTGCTGCTGCTGCTGGTGCTACAAACTCGGTAACATGCTGACGGTTCCGGAGCAGTATGCGTGACCCATCAGTGACCCCAACCTGACGACCATACTGCTCTACTACCTTCCATTCTTTTCGAGGGTCGCTGTACCCATCATGGAGCACTACCCGCGTACCTGATGGCAAATGGGGTAACTTGCGGACGCCTCGGCGCGAGTCATGACCTTCAACCATTGCTGCTTTCGCCTTGATCTGCTCAGATGGGTTGACGATCTGTGGGGTGATGGATGCTGGAACCCGTGTCCGAATGACTCTGCTGAACAACGCTTCGCTCGGCGATGTACCTAGCATCCGGTGCCGCGAATTGCGAATGTCGAACAAGACTTGAGTGATGCGGCGGTGTAGCGGTAGATGAGGTCTCAGGCTGGCAACTCGTTCTTTCACCAGACGATGTAGTCGCTCCACCATACCGTTAGAGCGGGCATACCGGGGGCTAGACTTGCAATGCTCAACACCCAACTGAGCGAGAAACTTGGACATCTCAGTGGATGCAAACTGTGGGCCCCAATCCGAGACGAGTGTTGAAGGCAGACCAAACCGTGCGAACAACTCCATCAGCTTGTCGATCACACCCGTTGCCGTAGTATTGGACAGTGGTAGAAGCTCTGGCCAGCGGGAACCATAATCAATAGCAGACAGGAACGTGGCTCCCTCAATGGTAACAAGGTCAATGGCCAGTTTCTGCCAGACACCTTCTATCTCTGTAGGGAGGAGCTGTTGCGCTGGATTGGAGCGTTTACGCCAGCATTCAGAGCATTTCTCTGCAAACAGATTGGCATCCTTCATGAGACCTGGCCACCAAACCCGTTCGCGAAGGGTATCCCGGAATGCATCGATGCCTGGATGACCTTCATGTGCTAGTCGCAGCACCGCTGGGCGGAGCTCTTCTGGAATGACGTAGCGATTGTCTAGCATGACAATCCCTTCAATGACTGTCAGCTGATGGCGTAGCAGGAAGTAAGGCTCTTCCGTTTGGATGCACCCTGACCAAACTGATGTGCCCACTCTTTGTCGGACGCTGCTCAGTGTCGGATCAGAGTCCGTGGCCTGGCGAATATCCTTGGAACGAACCGGACAAGCCTCGAGAATGAGACTAACGAATTCCGCCATTGAACGTGCCTCTGCAGGTGAAGCTGTGCGATCAGGTAGAGGAGCTCGAGAGAGGGTGTCAGCACAAACCATCTGCTGGCCAGGGACGAACACCAAGCTGTAGCGATAGGGCATCAATGCGACCAGCCATCTCTGAAGCCTCGGTGGCACTTCGTCGAACGGCTTCTGGACGATAGAAATAAGCGGCTTGTGATCCGTAAACACTTGCACTTCTCGGCCTAGTACATACTGCCGAAAGCGAGTCAGGCCGAATACCACTCCCAGCATCTCTCGTTCCAGCTGAGAATAGCGTGACTCAACATCTGATAGAGAGCGACTGGCACATGTCACTGGTACCCAACAGCCACTGGTATTCTTCTGCCACAGGACTGCTCCCAAACCGTCTGGCGATGCATCACAGCTGATAGCAGTAGGGACGTCCAATGCTGGTTGAAAGAATGCCAACGCTTGCAAAGCTGACGCTATACCAGCCTTTGCTGAGGTGAATGCCTGCAGGACTTCATCATCCACACTGAAGGGATCACGCTTTGCTAGCCTGCGCAGAGAAGCCGTGATCTGGGCCAAGTTCGGAATGAACTTTCCAAGGTACGTAGCCATCCCCAGGAACCGTCGCACATCAGAGATAGATTTCGGAGGGGCCAGCTCCTGGATGGCTTGTAACTTGTCATCATCTGGGGACAAGCCGGTCGCACTTAGCCAATGTCCCAGATACTTCACACGATCCTGGTTCAGTCGGCACTTGGTCCAGTTGAGTTGGAGGTTAGCTGCTCGCAGTCGCTGCTTGACTGCTTCTAGCCGTGCATCGTGTTCTGCTTGATTGGAGCCAAACACTAGGATGTCGTCGATGTAGACGATGACTCCTGGCAGGCCTTCCAGAATGTCGGACACCACTCGCTGGAAAATCTCAGGCGCACATGCAATACCGAAAGGTAAACGCTTGAAACGGAACAGGCCACAGTGCGATGAGAAAGTCGTTAGAGGCCTTGCTTCTTCTGACAAGAGTAGCTGATGGAATCCAGATTCCGCATCCAGAACTGAGAAGACCCCTGCGCCATCAAGCTGAGCTGTGATCTCGTCAACGGTTGGAAGAACGTTGCGCTCACGTGTAACTCTCTTATTCAGTTCTCTGTAGTCCACGCATAGTCGCAATGCTCCATTCGGTTTGCGGACTGGAACAAGTGGTGACACCCACGGCGTGGCTTCCTTGACGGGTTCAATGATATCCAACTTGGTCAGCCGTTTCAGCTCGGTCTCGATGTCAGCCCGGATACTGAAAGCTGGGCGTCGTGGTGGCTGGGCTAGAGGCTTTGAACCGTCTTCCAGAGAGATTTCGATGGGTGACACGTTCACCACGTTTGCTTGTGACAGGAGGTTCAGCTCCTTGATGACATCCTGTCCGAAGAGAACGGAGTGCTGACTGGCTGCTACCACGAAACAACTGCACTTCACGTTCTTGCCACCATGTGAAATGTGGACGTCAGCCATGCCCAAAGTCTCTACGACACCGCCATTGTACGCTTTCAGCAAGCGGTCACTCTTGCGCGTGGGCTTGATCACATCATCAGTGAGGATCGTCCGAGTTGCACCTGTGTCTAACAGTCCAGTGCACAGCTCACCATTGACTTTGAGTGTAGTCTGGAATGTCTTGTCGCCTGCGAGTGCCGAGCTACTGACGGTGAAAGCGGAGTCGTACATGCGACTTGCATGCTCATACTCATCAGGCTCATCCTCTACTGGCCGGGCTCTTTCTTCGTGTCTTTCCACTTTGTTTGACATGCAGACCGCTGCAAAATGCCCTCGCTTGCCACACTTGTTGCAGGTGACGTTGGCCGCAGGACAGTTACGCATGCCTGGTTTGTGACTACGTCCGCAGTATTTGCACTTCTTTCCCTCTGATCCAGAACCAGCTGCAGAGACAGCTTGCACACGCTGGATGGGCACGGGGAACACAGGCGGTGCGTCACTAGCTCTGGTACTATCGTACAGTTTACTGTCAGTAATCGACGCTTCCAACGCCACTGACTTGGTGACGGCGTCGTTCAGGGTCAGCTTCGACTGTTTCAGCAGCTCCTTTCGAAGCTCAACAGAACGCAGGCCCACGATCAGCTGGTCTCGAATTTGGCAGTTGACAATGGTATCCACAGAAGTGGAGCTGAATTCGCAAACATCTGCCTTTTCTCTCAGCCGCCCAACGAACGAAGTCACCGACTCGCCCTCCATTTGGCGGAGTTGGCGGAATTTGTGACGTTCAGACGTGACATTTGTTGACGGTCGAAAGTGTGCCAACAATGCGTCCGTCAAGGCTTGGTACTCATCTCCAGGTGAGCCATCTTGTGTCTGCTCCACCGTGACAACCAGACCTTTCACAATGCGCCTCACTGCTAATCCAGCCAGATTCAAGAACAAGCGTTTCTTGTCAGCTGCTGCCGTCACTTCACTGATTGAAAGGAAATCATTTATGTCCTCGAGCCAGAGTTCAAAATCAGCACCGACGTTGCTCGCAGCATAGTCAGGAATAAATTCCTTGGGCGTCCTGCCCTTTGTCATTTTCGTTCACTGCGCCAATGTAGACATCTATTCAGTCACTCACAAGACAGCCATTGTGCTAAACAGATCTTCTTTAGTTCTCTATCAGAAGTGCGCCATGTCATCTCTCTCGTGCTATACATAAAGCGGTACAAGCACGTGCATGCCTGCACGTGCGTACATAGTACTACATACAACTGCATGTACGATATCTACAGTCAGTGTGTGTGTGTGTGCCTTCCCTACCCTCTCTGTCTATGAGTATTTGTGTAGTATTTCAATCAGAACACTAGCTACAACGGGCCCGTCTGGTGTGAGATTAATAAAAGAAACAGAGGCATTCAAATGATTTGCTTCTTTGGCGGTTGTTCCTGGTGTAACACCATTCGCACTTTTGTTAGCATGTAGTTCAAGACGTTGGCCAGTGCAGTCCAGTCGTTCATTGTCACATCCCTTACCAGCGGATGTTCTCAGCGTGAAGTCAGTGGCGGGTGTGTTCTTCACCGTTGTTCTGGCCTGCTTGCGGATCCAATTGCCCACCTCGTTACTGGTACCGCGGTCGTTGACGTAGCCACTCCAGCCATTCTCGAAGCTTGCGCCAGGGGCAGTGCATGCTGCATGGGGAGAGAAAGCAAGAACGCGCACAGGAGGTTAGTTTATAGCCTATTAAATGCCTGGAGCGTATCACAAGGACGTTTCATTATGATAATCAGGATGCAAGAACACTCCACTCTCACCTTCTCATCATTCTCTCACCGTGATGATGTGCTTACCTGTCAGCGCTGAGCCCACACAGCAGTCCATGCTGAGTTGGATGTCATCCAGAGCAACATCACCGGTGAACGACGAGCCGGACACAGCACGGAACCTAATCTGTAAGCCAAGGGCACAAAAAACAGCGACAAAACCGTGCCACACTTCAATGCATGCGTAAATGGCCGACTTCGGCAAACGTGGCTGAGGAAGTACATAATTCCCAGTAAAGTAATTTTGCAGATCTCACTGACACACAAGCTGAGAACATTCAAAGACACATATTTAGCACGTTCAAACAACTTTGGTGCCCTCAAACTACAAACTTGGCACACTCAAAGATGAAAATTTGGCACCGTCTCATCACCTGGAAGGAATCACTGGTAGTGGCTTTGCCAAGCGAGGCTGTGGCCAGTTTCCAGCCAGTGCCTTGGTTGCCTGCCTTGGTCCAGATCTGTGAGTTGACACCCTTGATGACAGTGAACGCAGACAGCGAGCCAACCGTGGCGCCGTACATGTTATAGTAGAACTTGAGAGTGCACGCGGGAACACCGGTGTAGATCGGAGAGAGGAGCTCGGCCGTATCGCCGGAAGTCACCGGCACAGACGTCTCCATGTACACATAGTACCCGAGCGAGTTGCCCAGAGTGTGGTCACTCGTGGGCCCTGTGGACGAGCTGGTGGTGGGTCCACGCCGACGGTCAAAGTTCCTCTTGTCCGTCGTCACCTGGGACCAGCCCTGGAAGCCTGTCTCAAAGTTGGTCATCAGCGCGGTGGCGTTACACAAACCTGGATGTCACAGCAAGGAGAAGCAGCGCCAAGACAATGTTAGTTACGAGTGTTGAGATACATTAGGAGTCACACTCTCAGACCTAACGGAACAACTTGGGACAGGTAGGAGTAACGGCCTTTATTATGGGAGACGAAGAGACCAGAGACAAAGACACTGTCTAGGGTACTAAATACGCACACCAGGTGGGATTTCCCCTCCCCCCCCCCCCACACCTATTCAGTACAACTGTATGTATAAATGCAGCACAACTAGATGTGCTCATCGTCACCCACCTTGTGCACAAGCCAGTCCAGTGTTGCAGGTAGCTGTCTGGATGCTAGATCCCGTGCAATTGGCGCCACCATTTGCTGGCGCAGGGGTGTTGCACTGGCGGGTTCTCGTGTATGTACCAGTGCCACATGATGCTGAGCAGGAAGAGTATGCACTCCAGGCACTCCATCCGCCATCAACTGAATCAAATACAGTGATAAAGATACACGCATAGAAGACAACAAAACACTGTTCAGGCATAGGAGAAATTTGTCTGACATTAGTGACAAATATGCGTCTTTCTGAGGAGGATATAGAACTACTGCCAGAAACTCAAAACAGGAGGAAAGGAGAGGGACGTGAAAGAAAATTAATATCAAAGATAGATGGAGAGATGGCTGGCTGGCTGGATGGATGGATGAGTGGAATGGTGGACGGAGAGACATACTGACAGACAAATGGATGGGATGGATTCAGAATAATGGAGACAGAGCGGCATGGGGGACAAAGGACAGGCACGGGGAGAGTTACCTTTTGCGCAAGAACAGCCAGTAAACTGGATGTCATCAATCGCAATGTCACCAGTGAAAGAGGTTCCACGAACACCCTCAAAGATAAGCTGCAAACGTGGAATGGTTGATGAATGAGAGAGACGGAGAACAAACACTTGTCAGACAAGACACAGAGGAGGAGATGAGTCAGAGTTCAGGCACTAATTAAACTAGTACTCTGGCCATTGAGTGCCGGATACATATTACTACACACTGAACTGTGGCCAATGGGAATCGTCTATCTTTGGAATGAAGATGTTTCGAGAGATGATAAGTAGTTACTCCGTAGAACTATACGGAACCATAGTGATAACATTGTCATCCATATGACAGTGAAAGCAGCATGCATGTTTCCACAGTGTATTCAGTTGCAACGGACTCGCTGACCTAGACTAACAGAACAAGCTTCAGGCTCTTGACATGCAAAGCTGTACACGGTTGCCACTAGTGCTGTGATTGCCGGCTTCTCTTCAGATGCGGGAAAAGAAGACACTAACCAGTGCATTACCCTTTAAACAACGTACAGGTGATATGAGCAGCAGCAGTACGTAGATTAGCGAGAACACACACAGAATAAGGTGGATTGGTGAGAACTATCACAAATACCCTTTCCGGCGTTGGTTCTAAAAAAATGATCTCCTGCTGCTTGTATTGCCTCTGCGGTCTGTCCCATGGAGAATCATGGGGGGAAATTATAAATCCGTGGAAGAAGTTGCGCGAGGAAGCAGGGAAAAACGTGGACCAAGTATACTAAATTCGTGGGAACTGCAGTTCAGACCTGGCGACAAAATTTCACAATGCTTTGTTTCGACCATGCATGAGATCCAGCCACCGCGCCACAGGCTCGTGCCCTATATGGTTACCGATACGAGGGAGTAGTGTTGTCAGTCCCTGGTGGTGAGATTCACGTAGATCCGCGTGGCGAAGCTTGGAGTTTCAGCAGAAGTTTCCTCTCTCTGTACCACTGGGTGAAAATCTCAGTCTGAGTACATTGACTACTGTTGAAGGAGTGTGGCACCACGCTTGTAAACCACGATTGCTAAACGAAAGAAAGTGACAGATCCCTCGCAGGACAAATCATGGTTCTTACAGAAGTGTAGAATATTTGCAGTCCAGCTTTTGACTTGCTGAAAACTCAGTACATGGTCGTTTTCACGACGAGTCTGACTCAGGGCATGACACTTGCGTATGTTACTCTCTCAGTCTATACAGGTCAGTGACCATTCCAGGCCTTTCGACATAACAACTCACATTGAAAAGTGGCACGGCTCCAAATGTCAGAGATCCACTGCTGAGCCACGTGTTTCCCTTGTTGCCAGACCTGGTGAACAGCAGACTGTTGTTGCCGTACGCGTGCACGTAGACATTGAGTGTGCCGATGCTGCTACCGTACATGTGGTACCAGAACATCAGCTTGCAGCCTGATGCCTGCGTGCTGTACAGCGGGGAAATAAGCCTGGCCTTCTGGCCAGTGATGCGCGGCGACGACGTCTCGATGTACATATACCAGCCTGGTGAGAAGCAGCAAAATCAATAGCGGCAGATGTTACCGGCAGCGGCAGCAAACACAGACACGGCTGTCAACATTCACATAGATCACACAGCGGCAGTGTAACGAATATACGGCGACTGTGACAAACACAGCCTCGGATTACTGACAATGCTCACAATAGCCCAGTCAAACAGGAATTCATCAATTACTGACAGAGACCTGTGCTCAAATTGGAGCCATCCAAATTATCGGAAACTGCAAAATGGATGTCTAGCAACAAATTGAGATGGCCACACACGGCCGTAAAAACTCTGCGCACATACCAGGAGCAGTACTCGACGCGTATGCTCTATATTCACAGCTAAGCCAGTATACAACTCTAAAAAGGGTTTTCGTAAGTAACATACCGGCAGATGTGCCCAATGTATGGTCGATAGTTGGGCCAGTTGAGGATGAGCTTGTACCACTTCGATCTCTAGTCCAGTCAAAGTTGTCCGTCCTGTCCTGGGTGTACCCATCGAGGCCAGTCTCAAAAGTGGTCTTGGTGGCGCAGGCTAAGTGAACGTAGAAAACACCAAACATCAAAATGGAAAAGAAAAGAAAAAAACAATCTACCTGAACAATACAGACACCTAGCCTTTCACACATGAAGCCAAAAATGTGCTCTCTGAAATGCTTGCATCTACATGATTGTACGTATTTTCTACAACATCACTAAACTGAATACAATCGTTTCATATGGAATTTCTGATGGTGTCTATGTTCACACGTGCAGGGGTTATGTGCATTCGGCATCTTTGTAGAATGATACCAAAATGATCAGTACTGCCTGACACTAGAGGTTTGGAGAGACAAAAGAGATATGCAAAGCAAAACAATAAAGATCGACAACATGGCTAGATCAGGTGAACAAAGTGCACTTACGCTCTGTTGAAGGGAATGGTACATTTTTGTTGACATCTGTAGGAATATGAAGAAACCGGAATAACGCATGAAGGAAGTGAAGTACAGGACCGTCGGTATTCAGTGCATGACCCTATATTGTTCATGTAGCCTCCGATACATGTGCCATGACACACTATATGGTAGCATTGTGTCACCAGGCACTACCACATGTGCTACATGTACACTGGTACATGTATAGCATCGCGGCACTATGTCTCCACCCTATGTTACATGTGCTATGTGCATTGCAATACTTTGCACCCCGGCATCGGGGTGTCACTGCCATTTTTTCATAACTTAGTCCCAAATTGAGCTGACATACTTGCCACCACCTTTCCCTCGCCCTGCTGAAGTGTTGTGCCTTTTATCATCTCTGCCAGCTTTCTCAGATTTCTCTCATATATATGCCTAGTCTTGGTTATGCTGTCTGAAGAGTGTTTCTTTTTCAGCGAAGGACTATTTATGCAGCAAAGGACTTGGTTGAACCACTGCTGCATGAGAATTGTAGAACTGCCTATAATTGCATTGTAGGAGTGTCTATTATAACTGCATTGTCACAGAACTATCTATAATTCTATTGTAGGACTGTCTATAACTGTAGACCTGTCTCCGGTTGATTACTTGAACCACCGACGTCTGTTACAGTGTATATGAGCCGGGTGTCCGGGTGTCTTGCTAGCCTGTTTGTTCTTCGCTGCCCGACAGCATAGTGTAAGTAATTTATGATTTAGTAATGTTTGATATGATACACAATTATAGACATGTACCTTCAGCCCGACGATCGTCTCTTATTAGCTGCCCACTTATAACTCACCCTGTAAGCGACACAGATCGTATGCTCCGCTCCGAATGCGATAGCTGTTGAGATGGCCGTCCACCCACTTCACCTGTACCCAGCCCACACTGGAATACACGCCAAGGCCTTGGGAGATGTTGCCAATTGTGTTGCTGCCCTGGGTTCCCCACCGCCAGTCTTTGCCGCGCACAACTTGCACACCCGTCTTGAACAGTTCCTTGAGGCCGGTTACGTTGAATACGGAATAGTCGACGCAAGCTGCACACAAAATAGGAACAGAGCGGTGGGGGGGGGGGGGGGGGGGGGCACAGCGTTTGATCATGTTTAGTAGTAAATCGAGAAAAGGCTGCGCGCAAGTTATGCGTCAATGGCATTATCACACGTTCAACGATTATCATCATACACCATTCACAGCGTGCTTTGAAGTATTAGCAGTAACTAACTTGCTTGATCGGGTGGGAGAATTTGAAACTTAACGTTATTGGATTAGAAGGCAATGCTCTAATTGCAAATGGATTTTTCAATGGCTTTCTACCCCGGTCCTAACGATCTGCAATACTACTTGGAACCATAGGAAGATGTGCAGGGTCGTAGAAGACTACGTACATCATATTCTCATCGAGCAGACGTAGTGGCCCTGGTAAGACTAAGACTGGAGCTTCAGCTATGCATTCGCCCTAGGCTCTCGAGACTGTAGGCACCAAGCATCTTACATAATCGTTACTAGCTGCAACGAGTCGGACTCATGATCAAGTCGTTCTCACCGCCCAAATCGATCTCGGAGAGTGATGCCAAGCAACGCTCTCGGCAGTCTAGTCGTCAAGCACAGCACGGATTCAGTCGACATGTGCGATACAGCTACATGCCTGCACCCCTCTTTACATAATTCAATTCACCTCTCCGAAACGAAGCAAGCTGTTGATGCAAGACGAACTAAGCGACCATTCGCATTGCGACAAGTCCGATCCATAATGATACCGCTGGCACAGCAACGGCAGCCCTCTTCACTTTTGTTTTGAGGATTGAGTCGAGAGACAAGCCACAAGGGCTTCTTCCCTGGACCCTAGCTTCGCGGGTTCTTGAACCCGTTGCCCCGAACAACCGGGTCATATCTTCGCATCATCTTTTATCTGCCAGCTTCCAGTTCCACCGACCGTGTGGAGACACAGCAGCTCAGCTCTGATCAGATAATTATCATGATTATCGGTAACAGTAACACGGCGGCGCATGCACGCGCTACGGGTAAACTAACTAAAATGTACTTCTGCTCAACCACAAAACAGACACAAACAGAAACTGAGAGACTCAGTGGACCGTACTACAGTAGCATAGTGGACGCTGGCGGATTCATGAAACTCTGCCTGAGCGATGACAAAAAAAGGCTGCAAGCCTGCAGTTAGTACTGTACAAGTCTTGACTTGACCATCAGTCATCATGGTCATCAGGCATGGTATTGGTATTGTACACACTAGTCTTCGACTTGTACATTGTAGGCACACTTGATCTGTGGAGTCTACTTATTTTAATTATTATGTCCCCTCGGATTATTTGAGCTCATGTGTTATACACCGGTACCATGTAGACCACGGAGGTAGACCCAAACCCGTGTGCAATGTTTGGAGGCGACAACATCAGATCTCAAACGTGCTCCGTCGGAGCGAAGTGATTGATCTTCGAAGCGCACTAGTACCGGTAGTAGAACGAGGCAAAAGCCAGGCATAGCTGCCACTGAACTATTAAAAAAACCCAAATGAGCATGCAAGAAGCGGGAATGAGCCAGTTCAGAAAGCCACTGTGTGAATACCCTCCTCCACTACCAGATGGAACACGCATCACAACTGCAGTTCTGAACCATAAACTGCCACGTTATGGCGTAAGAATGGTAACAAGAGTGGGAGAGAATTCTGGCACTGAAGTTAAATACAGGGCTAGGATCTACAAGATGATAATAATTATTATGATTGTCTCGATCCGAGGAGCTCCATAGACGTTCAGACCCGCAGTTCACACGAGAAGCGGAGTTTTTCAGACCACAGAGTTCGTGACCTTTCAAGACTAGGAGATGAAATAGACCCGACGAACGTGCTCGATGGCAACACATTTGTCGCCTTGGCCTGCAGCTAGTCTAGAGCACTGGCCATCGTACTAGCAGGTAACGTTAGCACAAACCAAGCAAGTAAAGTAGCCGTGCTGCAGGACTGAGTCTGAGGTAGCATTCACTTACTGTACGTGCCGTTGCTCGTTGTTGTCGAGCCAGCCTCAGCACCGCTCCATAGCGTTACAGCTACAAACACTGCTAGGGCAGCGTAAACTCGCCACCGAGCCATTGCTGCGCTTCTCTCCGGTGGAGGAAGGCCAATGAGAGACGAAGAGAGTAGTCTTCACGGCTCAGAGAGATTGGCTTCACCTTGCTGGAAGACTTCGCCAAAGATCTCTTGCCTTGCTGAGGTCTTGGTTGGACCCAAGTCGTGGTGTGTGCTCTGTGAGCCTGCGCAGACTCACCGACCGCTAATCCGCACCAGGTGTGGGGTAGGTGGTTTAGAATCCCTAGTAAAGTAAATGCGCAGGCTACCGGGTGCAGGACCATGAGAAGGCGGGACTAGTTGTGACTGGATTCTCGGACGCTGAGGGCCAGCACTCGACATCCAAAGTGCTGTGTCACGGGGTACAAGGGCAGATCTCTCCGTTCAGGTACGGCAGAATAGTTACCAATAGCTAGAATTTGCTAGTGGTCTACTACAGTGGGAGTGCTCTTGGCAGATGGTAGAAAATGTGCAGGCACAATTCCTGCAGTAGTGCAGGTCCGTGACAGCAGACGCATCACGTGGCTAGGGTTGATCTCATTGGCACGTGGTGTGTCTTATCTTTGTGGTCTGTCAGCATTCTGCTGGACGGGACCCGTCACACATGCGATCCAGCTACATGATTGTAGATCTACTAGTGTACAGTTTCTAACTGTCATCAACGACCTGGGAAGGAGAGGTTCATTCCCTTATGGCACGAGCTATCCTCCAAGCGGCAACACGCAGACAACACGATGGAACCTGGGCGGTACCATGAGGCGATGGGCAGAGGAACGAGAGCTATTCAGCAGTTCAGTATCCTACCAATAGTGACGGGGCGGTAATTTCTCGCTGAGCTTGCTCTCTGCGACCACCCCGGCGCCATGTTGAGGCAGTCACATTCGTCGCATCACGCCTAGCCACGGACAGTGTTAGGGTAGGGCGCAATACTCAACCCCATAGCACGCTGAAATCCCGTCGCATCTACTTGGGAGCAGTGTGCATCAGGGTAACTCAGCCGAGGACTTTGCTTTTCACCTCGCAAGGAGCTTCTTCTCGGGTCCCTGGCGAAGAGCGTTCAGTCGTTCCTGCTCAGTTTCTCGCTAGCCACAACCACTCCATTGGAGTGGAGAGCAACGGCGTGATGAGATTGTGGCTGGCAGTGGCCCTAGTGGCCGCTTTGGCGTGGCGTGTCTCCGCACAGACTTCTAGTAAGTACTCTCGGACTGTACACTAAAGGTGCAATGTTCTCGGGGCACACAACAGCAACTTGCCTAAAACCAATCTGAGAGACAGTCAAGAACACCTTGTCTGTGGTGGGGTGTACTTCGAAGTATATTGCAGAAAGCGGTTATGCCTTTTATAGATGGAAATCAGAATTATCCCTTCAGCAATTAGTTCAGGACTATGTACTAGTAGACTAGGGGTAGAATAGCGCATGTGCATGTGTATGTGTATGTAGATCTACCAGTTATGAATCCAGCTGGCCTTTACTAGACCTTTACGTACTGCAGAGTGCAGTGCGCATCAATAATCCATGCTTCGTGTGAGACTGGTGGCTTGGCGGTCGACAGAGGTACAACCGCATGAACTAAACACTCCTTGTTGCCCAGGCCAGGTACTCCGAAAATAGGCTAGGAAGCAAGAAGAATCATGGCCACGCACACTATCTGGGCAATGACTATGTCACCCTTAGTTGTAACGATTACGTGCAGTTCTGTGCAGCAGTGCGGACACACGGTCTGTGGTGGACTCTCTCCCATGATGTCTCTCAGAAGGGTCCACGAGTGTAGATCTACTGGTAGCTAATCGACCAGCCTTGCTTAGGTGGCTGGTCATTGTAGCTGGTAGTTCATGTCTGCCGAAGAAGCCAAGACATGATCATGTGCCGTGGTAGATCTACCATCTAGCTGTGAAATATTCCGAGATCTTGTTTGAAGGCCCGCATATTTTAGAAGACACTCCAAATACCGGTAACAAGCCTCGGACCGTAGATCAGTTCTACATACGATACACAAACGACGATAAAAAAAAACATTATGAAGAACCACACTGACTTCCTTTTCCAGCACGTTTTTAGGCTGCCTGTTTCTCTAACTAGTCGAATCACAAGTTACCAAGCCGATGGCCGAAACAAGAGTGAACTCTTGCCAACCGAAGAGTGACATTGTGGTTAGCGTTTGCTACAAATGCTACAAGACTAAAAACCATTGCCCGCGATTGGTGTGTTCGACCAATTCATAAAATTTAATGTTGGAAGCAGAAGTGAGTAAGGTTTTGCTAGATGGCTGAAGGTTGAAGAAACATCTACTAGTATTCTTCTTGCAAGCAGGTTCTTCTTCACGTAGGTCGAACTAATTGGGCCAATTGCGGTAAAGAATTACCGCAAATCTCGCCTAGCGGAAGCGCTATTCGGCTGTACATGGTCGTTTAGATTTTCTGCAGTGACGGAACACGTGCCGTCGCGGCCGGCTTGCTTGTTTTGCAGAGGATGTGCTCTGGCACAACGTAGCAATACGAAGTCTGTTGAGCGACGCCTGGCATTCGGCGCCTGGTACTGAGAGACTCGAGCATTAGTTACTTTATTGGAGTCCACGTAGACTCAGCTACTACGTGTATGCAGTAGTGGACCTATGGCTATGGTGTGGCCATATCCAGCACCACTGACACTGACTGGGCCAGCTTCACACAAAACTAATTCCCACTCTACCCTAGTCTATGCTTCCCCGCGCAGCTGATATACTGGTAAAGAATCAGCCCCACGATTACCAAATTTACCATACCGGTATATTATGCCTTAGCCCTAGTGTCCAGTGGTCCACAGGATCTGCTCCATGCGTAAATCATCAAAATTTCAGCAGCTGTTTCTATCAAGAATGGAAGGCTGCCCTGTGAAGGAGTAGCGGCGCGACAATTCTGAACGAGTATTAAATAACTGTGTATACATTGTGTTGTCGTGAACTTTGCAGCCTCACCATGCTTTGGCGGTGTCAAGCAATTCACCACGGGCCTGGATGGTTACGTTCAGAGCAAGACGGATGACTTTGACTGGACTAGACGGAGTGGAACAACAACCTCGGGCGGAACTGGCCCAACCAGCGGGTATGGTGGATCAGGTACGAATCCTCATAAGTTACATTAACGCTATGTTGAAGCTTCAGATGATACTTGGGAGGGCTCGCTCTACGTACATGTAATTACGTATGAAAAAATGAAAAAAGCAGGCCGATTATTGCATCAGCGTATGGGAAAAGTAAAATAATGTTCCATGATGCGTGGTGCGTGCATGTGTGTGTGTGTATGTGCGTGTGTGCGTGTGTGTATGTGTGTGTATCCCGCCTGCTTGCCTCTCTCAGGCTTTTACCTATACACGGAGGCATCAAGTCCTCGCAGGTCAGGTGACACCGCGGTCATCATGTCTCCCTCAATGAACGTGCCCAGGAGCAGTGGATGTCAGCTCAGCTTCTACTACAACATGTACGGCGCATCCATGGGTACGATGATGGTGAATGTGACTGATTCGAGCGGTGTAAATCGCAATGTCTGGAGCGCGTCTGGCAACAAGGGAGCAGTATGGCTGTCCACAGCCGTTACTCTGAATCCTACCATTTTCAAAGGGATCACTTTCAAGGTACACGATTGTATAGATAGAGTGTGAGGTGGCTGGCATGTGTTGACTGCCATTTTATGGACTACTTGTGCATGCACCTAAAATTGAGGTGTGTGTGTGCATGTGTGTGTGTGTGTGTGTGTGTGTGTGCGCGCGCGTGTGTGCGTGTGCAGGTGCGTGTGTATGTGTGTGTGTGTGTGTGTGTGTGTGGTGTAGACAGAACGTGTGGGATCCATTGATGCTCAATTTGCTTTTGATTGGGCTAGCAGAAAACACTGCTGTTGCAAACATGCAACAATTTCGCATGAGTTTACACCTCAATCCACAAGGATAATTCATGACTACCTGCATGGGTGTATTGCACGCACAATTAACAGGAGCCAGAAAAACGACTTCTGAAGAGTGATCAGCAGACGCTTTTGTAAATTGAACTTACGGTTCAAGCTCTCTGGTGTTTGCATAACTGTCCATGCACTGTCCACAGGTCTTGTTCATTGGAATTATTGGCAGCAGTTTCACAAGTGACATGGCCATTGACCAAGTCTCATTCTCAGGCTCATGCTGCACGTTCGCAAGTGAGTAGTACCTTGTCGTCGTTTCGTTTTGCCCAGCACCAATGCGGTGACGATAATTGACGAACGTATGGGCTACTCGCAATCTAGTAGCTGCCAGCCTGGATGGGAACGTTCGGTGTGCGCAGATCGGACTTAAGCAAACCACGCGTTGCTGGATACACTTTGCTATCATGTGGCAGCTGTGCCAGGAAAGCATGTAGCTGTACCAACTCTGCACTGTAGATCATAATTTCGGCACAACGGGCTATTTACTGCATCCTTCCGAGCTCTGAAAGATCTACAAAGCAGCTCTTGAAGGGTCTCGATTATTGTAATGCTGCGAACAAACTGTTTCGGCTACTGGGGCGATGTGCGACTTGTATGGATCCATCAAGAGCACATAACTGTGTGGTGAAGTGAAAAGACTGCCATACTGGCTGGTTTTATGACGGATGCCTCCGTTTGGTACTGAACCAGTGCACATAGGTATTGGGTGTTTGTCTGCAGGGCGCTGGATGAAGGATAATTTCTCAATGAACACTGTGTCTGCTTTGCTTTCTCGTTGCCTCTGTCGTCTCTTGCCCTTGCTGCTTGTGTGCTACCAATCCTAACAATGCGCTCGCTGTGTCTGCGCTGCAGCCAAACGTAAGTAGTAATTTGTTAATGCTTGCTTCATGCCAGCACCGACACATGTCCGAGCTAGACCAGCATAGCAGCTGAAAACCACATCAGGACACCAACAAGCTTTCATAACACGTGTCATGTTATGCCATGGACTTGAAGGCGGCTTGTTCAGGTGCTCTCTGGATCACGGGATATGTCCAAGCAAACTACAGTACAGTACATGCTGTTCGCTTATGTCTAAGAGAACTACATACTTGTTAAAAGGTGTCACTGATAAGTTGTGGTAACACACATCATACACAACAGTTGTCCACTATAGATATATACAACTTACCCAATGCTGTATCTGCACTGTGATGTGTCATTTGCAATGTGCTGCTGCTGTCACTGCTGATTGGCATGATGGTTGATTAGACTCTCAGTTGTGCATTACTTTAATCTGCAGCCAGTGCACATCGTAATAATAAAATACACACGACGCAATGAAGCAAGGTTCTCCTTGAATCTAGCAGCTCACCTATAATCGTGGCGGGATTGTACATGTGTGTGTGTATGTGTGTGTGTGTGTGTGTGTGTGTGTGTGTGTCTGTGTATGTGTGTGTTTGGGTGTGCGTGCTCGCTTGTGTATGTCTGTGCACGTTCTGGCCATGCAGCATGCGGCCTTGAGACGGTTACATTCAGCAATGGTCTACGCGGCTGGACACAGTCCAAGGCGGACCAGTTTGACTGGACTGTGGACTCTGCTGGCACGTCCAGCAGCTCCACTGGACCAGCAACTGACATCACACCAAACGCCCTGGCATCGTATGGCAAAGGTTTGTGCACCTTACTTACTGTATCAATACAGCAATCTGCATTCATATCAACTTACCCAACTGCAGGCCAGTTAGTGCTTTTCTACATGCAGCTCATGAACTTGATAAGACATAAATAGATTTATATCGTGAGCTGTTAAAAGCAAATGATTGTGATATGTGTGAGGCTCGATACTCATCTTATGTATGTGCATACTTCCTCCGCGTCATTAAAATTGTCGCTTCGCACATCGCAATATTTGTGACTTGGCTCGTCTTCGTGAGACAGTCGGAATCGCTGTTTTCTGCGTTCGAACACTGGTGCGGCCCTTCCTGCGCAATGTATACTTGTTACTGAAACCGTGGTGGTCTCGGACTTTGTCGGAGCTCTCTTCCGCAACAACCAAATTCATCGCGCTCCGCACTATTCCGCCCCAGAGCGCATTTCGTTTTCTGGAGTTCGTGCCGTCCCACATCGTTCGAGTGGACATTTATCAAGACTGCAAGCCCGGGTATAAGAATCCTGGTATCTCTCCTGAATACAAAATGCTTAAGTTGACGATGGCAAGAACAAAGTGGTCTCAAATTCCTAAAATGCGCTACTTGTGGCGCATGTTGCTGCGAAAGTAGCAGGTCTGAAAACACCGACAAAATCAGCGAACCGCTTGCCAAGGAAAGAAGGTGCAGAACTGCTTACCCTACCCCACTGGAAGGTCGTTACAGTGCACTTGAAAAATGCTAGCTTGCCTTCATCCCCTGCCACCTGGAGGCATGGATCGCTTGAAAACGAAGTTTCTTGACCTGAATTTGAACGCGCGTCTTCTTCAGCGTATTGTTGAGTGCTGAAGGGTCTGCCTGAAACTCTGAACAAGACATCGACCTTAGCTACAAGTACAGCGAAGCGGGAGGCCACAAACTAAAGCTTGGTCCATCTACAATGCTTTGCCTCAATTTCTAGCTGATTTCTTTGCCCCTCGAGTGGACAAAATAAATTCGAAAAATCGCTCTGGGAAGCGACAATTTTAATGACGCGAAGGAAGTATGTCTGAGCGTGAACTTGTGTGCATGCATGTACCTTTCCTCATTTCCACCCAGGAAGCTATTTGTACATTGAGACCTCCTCCCCGCGGAGACTAGGCGATACGGCTATCTTCAATTCGCCCAACTTTGATGCCCCGGACACTCCGAAGAGCTGCCAGTTCAATTTCTGGTACCACAGCTATGGTGCGACGGTGGGCTCACTGTTCGTGAACATTACAACGGTGTCCGGCACGAGGACTTACTTCAGCAGGTCCAACGTGAATGTCAACAGATGGGAATACGCGAGCATTCCGCTCCTTGCAATCACCAGCTCATTCCAGGTAAGACAAAGAGCCATCGCACACCTGCAACAAATCATGCCACCGCATTACCGTGCATGTCGAAATAAGTGATGGTGTTTTGTGTAGCGGCCCAGACACATCCTGTACCCGCCAGTGCAAGCATATAGCTCAAACTGCGGCATCTATCACATGTCTAGTTCAGTTTCTCTGGCGTCTTGTTGCTGCCAAAACATAATGCACTCACCGACAGCGTGAAAGGTCAAGTTCAGGTCTTGTTAGGTGTAAATATAAAGGCCTGGTGTAACAGTAACACCTGCCGTGTAAGCGACCTCCGGTTTTAGCGACCACCTGCTTTTAACAAGCGTTTTTCCATGCACGGACACTTCTACACAGAAACTGCACTGGATACAGCGACCACCTGCCTTGCACAACCAGCGACCGACTTTTAGTGTGCCAAGTGCCGTATTGGACCTGCACACAGCGACCAAACTAGCCAAAAGTGCCATCTTGGCTGGCAGGGTTGAAGTGCACTCTGAAGCAAATGCATGCAGTGAACAGAAGTGACAGTGCAGGATGTGCTTTGCCTGCACGAAAGTAGTCTATGCTCCACACCTGTCAATATGAGTACATGGAAGTGCAATCATGTACATGTATGTACACAATCCAATATGCCATGAATGTATGGGACCTGGTTCTAAAGACCACCTGGCTTTAACGACCGTTTTTGCTTGCACCGTGGGGTAGTCACTTAAACCAGGTTTTACTGCAGTATATTCACTGACACCACACGAAATAGCGGCATGACAAATTGTGTGAGAGGAGCATCATGGTACTTAAAAGGGAGAAACATGGAGTGCAATGTTATCGCATTAGCTGATTGTTTAGTAACTGGTGGTGTTAGTGCACATTATAGTGTAACTTGTAGTTCCTTGGTCCTTTTTACTTTTTATAAACATGGAAGTCGGCTTCTTTTTAATAATTGAGCCAGCGCAAGCGAAAAACCGGATAACGGAGCTACGTCATGAACTGAGAAAACGGCTTGAGAAGTTTGAATACGGGAAATCCCCATTCAGCGAAGCGTGTCGCGTGTTCAATGCTTTGCTACGTCACAAGTATGTGACGTAGTGTTCTATGGCGCGAACCATCGCGCAGCTGAGTTCCTCAGCTTTCTTGTGCTTTTTATTTGAAGGAAATCCGTCAAGGGACGGCTGAGTTTCGGTCGCTTGACTGAAGTCGATTTTACTCTGGAGGATCGTGCTTGCACTCTTCGCTCTGAAATTTGAAAATAGTTTGGACTTTGAAGTTAGTCGATGATTCTTTGACAGCATGAGCAGACGAGCTACGTTCACCGTGGACGATGCCCTCGCTGCTCTGCTCCTTGAAGACGAGGAAGAATTTGTACGCTCAGTTGCTCTTGACGGGCCACCTGTCCAAAACGTTTTGGGTGAATCTGACGACGACGATGATGACAGTAGTGACAGCCATTTCCTCGACAAGGAGCTCGACATCGATATTGCTGCCCATCGGTATGATGAACTGAGCAGCACCGACGACGGTGATGGAGAAGAAGAGACAAGCGATACTGACGATGTATTTGAGGACCTAGATGCTGGTATGGACGTTCCCCAACATGCTGCAACTGCAGCCACAGTTTTGCCAAGATGTGGATGTTCAAAAAATTGTTTGTCACTATTTTCTATTGAAGATGTTGATCAGAATCGGCTGAACATGGCAGAGCTGGAGCGACCTGATTTTGATTTACTGCTGAGTGGTGTGCTGGAGGCTATGCATTGTGGAGACAAGCTCACTGTCCACCAGAAAAAGCGTAAACGCTCAGCTTTCAAGTACGCTTTCCAGAGCAAGCGAGTGTGTGCCGGTGCGTTCCGCTACATCTTTAACATCAAGAAAGATAAACTGTGGAGTTTGTGTAAGCACGTGGAAAGCAACGGTGCAACGGCGCGGCGACACGGCAATGCTGGTCGACGACCATCAAACGCTTTCACGTTTGAGGAAGTCAAATACGCGGTTACTTTCATAAAGTCTCACGGCGAACACTATGGCATCCCACACCCTGCACCACTACATGGTCGAGATGGCGTTCCTCCCGTGTTTTTGCCTGCAAGCCAGACATACAAGGCTGTGCACAAACTGTATGTTACTGCAGGGAACTCGGCTGGCATTCGTGTCATGGGAGAATCTTCCTTCCGCAGCATCTGGCACCAATGTACGCCGCATTTGAAATTTATGTCTCCTCGGACTGACGTGTGTGATCTGTGCGAGAAACTACGCCGTCGGGTCATGTCAGCTTTGACTGAGCAGGATAAGGTGGCCGCCTGTTCAGCACTGCAAGACCACATTGCAGCAGCACAACATGAGAGAGACTACTATCGTGGAGCTACTATCTCTGCTGCCGAACAGCTACAAGCCAGTGCCCAGTGTGCGCCACCATGTGCTCCATGCTCGCAAGCCACGTTCAAAACGCATTATACATTCGATTTTGCGCAAAACGTCAGCATACCTCAGGAGTGGCGACAAGTAGGTCCTCTCTACTTTAAAGTTCCAAGGAAAGTGCAGGTGTTTGGGGTGAACAACGAAGCTGTTCCGCACCAAGTGAACTACTTGATTGACGAGACGGACACCATCGGCACAAATGGCTCCAAGAGCCATGGCCCCAACAGTGTTGTAAGTCTCCTCCACCATTTCTTCGCACACCATGGTTATGGCGAAAAACAGTGTATCCTCTCTGCAGATAATTGCTGTGGCCAGAACAAGAATAAAACTGTTGTTTCCTACCTTGCATGGCGCTGTATGTCTGGCTTGCATAAGTGTATTGAGCTGCATTTCATGATCACAGGCCACACCAGATGTTTGGTCGATGGCTGCTTTGGTTTGCTGAAACGCAGCTATAGGCGCAATAATATCTATAGCATGGCCCAGTTAGCTGATGTAGTGAATGGTAGTGCTGCATGCAATCAGGCGCAGCTTATTCCTGGCTCCAATCTGGAGTGGCGTGAGTGGGATAAGTTCTTTATGCAGTTCTTTAAGCCCTTGGTCGGCATTTCCAAGCTTCACTACATGCGCTTTTCCAGTGCTGAGCCTGGTGTAGTGTATTGCAAAGAGAATGTTCATGCTGCTGAGCAGAGGCTTGCCTTGCTGAAAGTGCCTGCAGAAGATTTGCTTCGTGCTGGTCTGCCGAAAGTCCTCAGTCCTGCAGGACTGACTGCAGAGAGGCAGCAGTACCTCTTTTCTCACATTCGCGAGCATGTTCCATCAGAGTTTCAAGATGAAGTTTGCCCGCCACCTACTGCATCTGCAGAGTGAGACAACATCCTCGCCGACCAGCCTGACATGGCACTTTGATCATTTCACATTCGTTTCTATTTTCGTGTACATACTTGTGCCATTGCTCAGTTACACACTTGCGCAACATTGCTCTTGATTACGCCTATTTGCGTAGATGCCCTCATGTACTCTAAAGAGTCTCTTGATGCTATGATGTATAGAAGACTCAATAATTATCATGTTACCTATATGTACAGCATTTTCACTTGATTTGATAATACTCTCCATCTGCTTCATTGGGACAGCTTTGTTTGGGCCATCAATTATTCGTTCAACACCGCTGGATTGTTTGCGTGCGCTTGAACATCATTTTCCGTATCTTAGGCAAGGACATAGGTGCAGACAAATGACTGTATCTATGGTGTTTCTTGAGATTTTTGAGTCTGGTTTTTTTTATTGGTTTCTGCATGAAATTCTGAAAGCTCTCGTATTGAAATCTCAAAACCGCCCTCCAAGTCCATTATCTGGGTTTTCGCTTGTGCTGGCTCAATTATAGAGAATCAGAAAGAGACATGAAAGTTGCGACGCATTTGTTTAGTGTGAACCTGGGAGTCTCTTTCTGCTGTGTGAGGGCTGGGCAGGTGATGGCAGCATGAGTAGACGACCATTGTTGTGCTATTCTGGAGCAAAAAATGGTGTGGGAGATGGCTTCATAGCTCGTCCCGACCATTAACTTCACGTGCCCGCGTGCACTCTCCTGTTGGTGTTTTGAATAGATTTCGATCATCGGAGTGCGAGGTTCAAGCTTCACAGGTGACATTGCTGTTGACCAGCTCTACTTCACTGGATGCTGTAAGTAGATGAGCTGGGAATATTGATCACCACATGATGTGTGCGTGCATGATGCGCTGGGAATATTAATTTGATCACCACACAATGCGTGCATGATGAGCTGGGAATATTAATTTGACCACCACACAATGCGTGCATGATGAGCTGGGAATATTAATTTGATCACCACAAGATGATCACTCGCAGTATAGTATTCCAGCGCTGGTATTATCTCCTATCGTGGTTGTAGCACTGCCTTAGTATGCAATATCTGTGTTATCGAAAGCTGTTTTTCCATTGCCGGTATTAGAACGATCGACTTCTGATCTCCACTTTGTGTGTGGCTTTCTTTCTGTGCTTTTCCATCGCTATATTGTGCACACTGCACTCCATCGCACAAACACGTACAGGTGCTGTGCAACGTAAGTTATAGCTAAGCAGTTCTCAGAGCGATGTGTGAGATTGCCAATTGCAACTACTTCCATCAGTAAAATGGATTTCACCATGTGTACTTCTGAGCTGCACACCTATCGGATCTTGTTTCTGATGTCTATCCACGTATCGGACAGGGTCATTTGCCCAAGAGTACGAATAGCACCCTGCCTAGAAACTGGTGTGTGTGTGGGGGGGGGGGGGGGGGAGATAAAGACACATTGAAGGGCGTTCGTGGGTGCGAACTACACATCCCAACGTGTTATGAGCCTCCGGCGGGGGAGGCAGTTTTTCTCCAGTCTTTGTGCCCAAAAATGCTCGGCAGCTGTAGCATGCTAGAGTAGCACAGTTGATAAAACCTTTGTATGCAGGTGGTTGATCACCTCATCGTCGTGTCTCTACCTGCTTCTTCTCCTGGCTGTAGCATGCGTGGCCAGACCTATCACGTTTGACAAGAGCGGCGATGGATTCTACCGCTCGCCCATCACCGGCACTCCTGGCGCTACTAAATGGTTCCGTGATAATGCGGGAACTTCATCTTCATCCACGGGTCCCTCGACTGACCACACATTTGGCAACTCAACGGGTATGTACGGTGGCTTGAAAAATAGCAAGTAGCTCTTTACTGCATGTGAGGAAGCTCAACTGGTATGTTTGTGAGTCAGTGTTGCCTTACTCGCTTCAGTGACCGTATGTTTGTGAGTCAGTGTTGCCTTACTCGCCTCAGTGACCGGTAACATGGTGTTGGCAATTACAAACGAGTCTGTGCCAGGTTTACTCTGGTTTGCATCACGGGACGGCACGCTCCGGTTCTCTCTTCATTGCCTCGTGCCTGGGGCTCATGTGACCCGTATGGCAGTGTATTGACAGGGCAGGTGGTTTCTTGAAAATAGCAAACAGCTCTAGTGATTGACAATTCCTGGCCCGGCCATGGCTGATGTTCACTGCAGATCCATCCCCCGGAATCCGTACCCACTGGTGTCTAAAGCAAACACAGTATTTCCTTAGCTTGGACCACTTTGAGCAAGTGTGCACACTAACCCAGTGTGTCTAGGTGTGGACATGATTGTATTTA